AATTCTACAGGTGTACCACCTCAATCTGTGTTGAAGTAAACAGGAAACTGCAGACCAATCTTCACCACAAGTGACCACAACTGATCAGGTTGGAAACCCTTATTTCCAAAGTGCTCAGCTAAGGCAAAAACTAAATCAAGGGTAAATTTGTTCCTTGTATTGAGCCAATGATAACTTGAGACAGTCCGAGGGTTATCATATTATATTAAGTCCTAAGCTGGCATCTTAGCGCCAGCCTTGGCAAAAATTTTGCTGTTGTTGTTGTTGTCCTATTCTTATTCTTCCTGGCACAACATTTTCAGGTATTCAACCCACTTTCCATGCATTATGTACTTTTTTTAAAAAAATTAAAATCTGTTTATATTTTAATACTTAAAACTCCCCTATTTAATTTTTATTTGTTTTATAAACAACATTGTTAGCCACCTTGAGTCCCTGCTGAGAGCAAAAGCAGGGTACAAAGGGAACCAGCCTATCAACCAACAGTTGCCATAGGACACATCACTGCTGATGTTGTGTATTTCCATTACAGTGGTTGGGGGGGGGGGGAAAGACTGAGGACGAAATTGAATGGCTTGCCTAAGCCCAACCATGGCACCGATTCTTGCACACACCACCATGACCAGACCAAATATACAGAGGGATATACTGGTAGATTCCTGGGTAGATCCAGAAAGGATCTGACTCCCGGTTGTCCCACAATAGCTTAGGAAAGGGTAGGCTGTAAAAACCGGGGAAGGGAAAATGAGCGGATAGTACATAGCCCGAGCTTAGCAACACAATATACACCTGGCTTCGGGACGAACCTGGAATTTCTGTGTCGGCTGTTTTATTCTGTCTAACGGTAGGACCGGGCCGTAGGCGAAACTATCTGAAATTATTTTATTTATTTTATTTATTTATTTGATTTATATCCCGCCCATCTGGTCTATACGACCACTCTAGGTGGCTTCCAGTGTGACATAAATACAATACAATAAAACAAAAATATTACATAAGACAACCAGAACAAATTATATTACATAATTAAAGTAAGTAATAAATAAAGGAAGAATAAAGGAAAAATCAGGTATTGACAGGAGGGAAGGCCTGAATATACATCCATGTTTTTAGTTGGCTTTTAAAAATTAGGGCTCAGGGATAGCCCACCCACTCCCGCAATTCTCATTCATGCAGCTCTCAGACCCTGTTTATGAGTGTATTCGTCCGCTTGGTGCCTTTTCGTTTCAATCGCAGCCGGGCTTGGGGGGGGAAAAGGCCTGCCCTGCGCGCCGCCGCCGCCGCGGAGCAGAAGGGGGTGGTCGCGTCCCCGGTGCGCGCCCCCGCGGACGTTGCTCATCCTTGGCCAGCCGCCAAGGCCGCCTGCCTGGGTTGCGTCAGACAGGGCACTGCTCCTGCCTTCAGCTTTCCAGCCTCTGCGCGTCTGGCCAGGTGCGCGGCCGCTGCACCGGAGACACCTTCGGGTTGCCACTTGCGCCCTTCAAGGCGGCCGATCGTTCCTGCGGCAGCAGGTCTCGCCCGATCTCCACCGATCTCTCTCTCGCTTCCCCCCCAGCAACAATCCAGAATGATATTCAAAGCCAACCAATGGCTAAGGAGATTCTCCACCACCGCCGCCGTGAGTATGAAGGGTCTTGGCCGCCCTCCCCCTCCAGGAAGGGAGCAGATGTGCGGGCCAGCCCCTTCCCAAGATCCTCTGTATTTTTTCTGCTCCTCGCAAAGACGGGGCACCGCGATTATTCAAGGGCTGGACTTTTCCTGCCCCCGACCCCTAGAATTCCAGATGTGGCTTTCTGTAGAGGATGCCATGTACATAGTTTTAAAGACCGTGCCTGTAGTGTTTCTTCTTCCTCAATCTCAGCACCAAAGGTTGTAGAATACCGGGGGGGGGGAAGGGGGGGGAATCAGTCTTTTAAGACGAAAAGATTCATTATGGCATGATTTTTTTTTGTGTGTGTGGCTTACGATCCATTTCTTTAGATCCCTGGAGTGTAATAGCCTTAGATTTATTGTGCAGTCTACATGGCTGCGAGTGTGGGAATCAGAGTGAAGTTGGATGCATAAGGTGCATAGGTTGTGTATCAACTTTGATCCTAAGCTTTCTCCGGTCTGGCGACGCCAAAGGAGTCGTTTTGCACAACACATTTCCATTTTCAAAATGAACAGGACTGCCTAAACCAGTTTTGACCGTGCCTGTAGTGTTTCTTCTTCCTCAATCTCAGCACCAAAGGTTGTAGAATACCGGGGGGGGGGAAGGGGGGGGAATCAGTCTTTTAAGACGAAAAGATACATTATGGCATGATTTTTGTGTGTGTGGCTTGTGATCCATTTCTTTAGATCCCTGGTGTGTAATAGCCTTGGATTTATTGTGCAGTCTACATGGTTGCGAGTGTGGGAATCAGAGTGAAGTTGGATGCATAAGGTGCATAGGTTGTGTATCAACTTTGATCCTAAGGGTCTGGCAACGCCAAAGGAGTCGTTTTGCACAATGCATTTCCATTTTCAAAATGAACAGGACTGCCTAAACCAGTTTTGCATTTAATTGCATTAATCTGTCATGTGAGATGGTTATGTTTTGACACTTTTTGCTGTGATTTTATGTGTGTGCATGTGTATGTGTGAGATCCATAGGGGTTACATGTGCAGATGTGTTTAAAATCATTATCTGATGGGAGTTTTTTAATTGCAGTCAGTCACCCTTTGTAGTTTTTACCAGGAAGGGGTTGTTGTTAGTCTTGATAACATCTTTTCCCACAGTGTTTTCTCATATTTTGCTTTCCACAATAAAAAAAACACATTTTTAAAAAAAGAATAAGGGGGGAGTTTTTCTTTTGTTTAGGAATTCCTATTTTGTTTTAAACCTGTGACACTTTCCCAGCATGCCTTCTTTTAAGTGTCAACTGCCCAGGTGTTCAGTGGCATATGTGGTACCTATGCTCCCCCCCCCAAGACCAGGACAGAGATGATACTGTTCCCTCACATTAAACCGATAAGAACAGATACAGTACTACACATTTTAAAACTACATTTTGTATATTTTAGCCATAAATATGTTTTATGAGCTGGTCACCCAACCGTAAAAATTAAAAAAATTCATTACTTAATTCCTTCACATTGTTTCTACAACAACCATGCACATTAGATTTAGCAGAGATTAAGAGAGAGCATGATTGGCTCAAGATACCTCAGCCAGCTAGCTTCATTGCTGGTGTCAGCCTGTGACACTTTCCCAGCATGCCTTCTTTTAAGTGTCAACTGCCCAGGTGTTCAGTGGCATATGTGGTACCTATGCTCCCTCCCCCCACAAGACCAGGACAGATCTCATACTGTTCCCTCACATTCGATAGGAACAGATACTACACATTTTAAAACTACATTTTGTATATTTTAGCCATAAATATGTTTTATGAGCTGGTCACCCAACCGTAAAAATTAAAAAAATTCATTACTTAATTCCTTCACATTGTTTCTACAACAACCATGCACATTAGATTTAGCAGAGATTAAGAGAGAGCATGATTGGCTCAAGATACCTCAGCCAGCTAGCTTCATTGCTGGTGTCAGATCTGAACTCAGGTTTGTCAGAAAATCCAGGCTTCTAAATCTCACACTACATTATTTTTCCCACTATTATGATTTAGAAACTCCATATAACTGTAAGAGCACTGCATGTGTGTGAGATTGCTGTTGTGACTATGGAAGCCAGATTAAAATGCATTTTGGGTCTATTTTAGCCATAAGTATGTTTTATGAGCTGGTCACCCAATCATAATAAATAAATAAATAAATTCCTTCATTCCTTCACATTGTTTCTACAACAACCATGCACATTAGATTTAGCAGAGATTAAGAGAGAGAATGATTGGCTCAAGATACCTCAGCCAGCTTCATTGCTGGTGTCAAATCTGAACTCAGGTTTGTCAGAAAATCCAGGCTTCTAAATCTCACACTACATTATTTTCCCACTACTGTATTATGATTTAGAAACTCCATATGACTGTAAGAGCACTGCATGTGTGTGAGATTGCTGTTGTGACTATGGAAGCCAGATTAAAATGCACTTTGGGCCTACCTTTAGCATGGTTTAGCCCGCAGCGCCACCACATCTACCTTTAGTGCTTAACAATTTCATTCAGAATTTCTGTTCAAGTAGGAAAGACATCCAGGCAATGCAACGTACAATCTCTTGTCAACCAGCTGTTGCTGTACCGCAGGATACCTTACATGCTGTGTTTGACAACACTGTCCAGTATTCTATCAGCAGACGAACTGGAAAATCCATGTCAGGAGATTGGTATTCTAGGAAGGTTTAATCTGAGCTCCTTGGACTGCATCAGCAATGCTAAATATGAGAATGAATGACTGATGTTAACATATTGCATATGGAAGGCGAGGGGCCTTGCTTTAGATTGCTTCCACTGAGTGATCGTTTTAAGCTGCGAAGCCTCCACTGGCAATCACTTTGCTTCTTTCGATGTTTGCACTGTGATACCAAGGTTCATCCTAACAGAGCATTCCCCCGCCCCATTTGTTCCCAGTGGTGAGCAGACCGCGTAGGTATTTGCCCGCCCCATTTGTTCCCAGTGGTGAGCAGACTGCATTGATATTTGCCCACTGTGGCATTTACCCCGTGGCCCCTGCTTGTTTCATCAAACACAGGGCCCACACAAGTATCCCAACACACCCTTTGACACACTGCCACCAATCAATCTCTTTATCAACATATATGTCCTATGAAAGACTGAGGTCCATCCAGTAGTGACTTTTTAACAGAAACGGGTTTATTGATTACACGTGGTTTCAGAAATAATTCCTCAGCACATTTTAAAAGTTACACAAAGCTTCAATATTTTACTTTAATCTCTTCTGTCTTAATTAGTACAGGTTACACTCTGACTAATCACTCCTTCAACACACACACTCTGTCTGCCTCAAACCCCCAAAACTCCTTCTCTCTCTGTCTCTGACTGAACTAACTTCTCTCCCACACTCCACCTCTTCAGCACCCCATTGGCCCTGCCTCACAACCACATAAACATACAACTTGTGAATAATGCATAACTTAGGGTGAACGCCACACACCCCTCCAGAAAACACAAGTCTTAACTTGCTACAGCAGTAACAAAGGATGATAAAATCTTGGCTTTTTAACCACCCCTATACTGAAGGAAGTTTTTTCCCCCAAAACCCATTTGTGCTGGTATGGAGTTCAGGCAACAAGACCGTCTTGGGTGTAAGCTTTCAGTGAGGTCACTAGTCTACTTTACTACCCCCTCCCCAATTCAGCAAAATCATTCTTTGAAGGGTTTTTCCAACAAGGAGACCATGTTAGTCTGTTTCATAATACTGTATATAATAGAAATAAAAACAAGTGTTGTGGTGCCTTAAAACAGTTTTATTTTAGAGTGAGCTTCTGTGGATTACGGTTCGCTTGTGTCTGAAGAAGTGGATTGTAACTCACGAAAGCTCAGGCTGAAACAAATGCCTTAATCTTGAAGTTGCCACAAGTCTTTTCATTTTCACTGTGCATTGTTTTGTATATTTTAAGTCTTGCCATAGACGATACCAAAGGTAGTTCAACACAAACAGGGTTTATTAGAGTTGTCAAGGGGAACGCAAACAAACTGCTCACAGAAGCCTTTGGGGTCTTTCCCTGCACTTCCCTCAGGTCCAAGTTAAAGTCCCAAGACCCTCTGGTTGGCATCACTGGGCGGGGCTCAAGTCCGTTTATCCCTAGTGGGGCTCTCTGTGCTGACCAGCACTCTGGGGCCTGCAAGGAGGATTTTAATACTTGCACTGAGGCAATGATGACAGTCCCAGCTTCTCTACACTTGCTGCCCATCTGACACCTGTCGTTGATGCTCCTGCTGCCTCTAATTCCTCCAGCATAGGGACTGGGTGGCAATTGGCTCTCCAGGCCTGTGTTCATGGGGCCAATCCTTTTCCACTTGATATTTCCACTCCTCCCCGTTAATGTGGTTGGGGAGGTGGGTTGAGGGTTGAGATGTGCCTTGTAAGAGGTCACCTGTCTGGAATTCCTGTTCCACTCTTCCCTTCTGACCTCCCATTGCCTTCTTCCCTTTTGCCTCCAATGCCACCTTTATTTACATATTTATCTAAACTATTTTCAACCCACCTTTTTCCTTCAAAAGAAGCCAAGGTGGCTTACAACCATTAAAAGACAGAGTAGTTCCACTCTTCCCTTCTGACCTCCCATTGTCTTCTTCCCTTTTGTCTCCAATGCCTTCTTTATTTATATATTTGTCACAACCATGAAAAGACAGAGTGCAGTATTTAAGCACTCAGTGGCCCTCCTCCCCCTTTCCTCCTAGGAGTTATCAGCTAAGCTGTGCCTCCACCTCCAGATCCTCTGACTGGGTTTCCTGCTCGAGCGCCCCAGGTTCTGCAGATACAGGATCTCCTGGCACCCTTTCATCCCACGGGGAATCTTCCAGGTCTTCTGAGCTCAGTGTCTAGGATTCCGGAGAGCCAAAGGAAGACGCCCTGTCCGTGGAGGCACCTGTGCCACTGTTGTCCTCCTGACATAACATAAATGAATAATACACACATAGCATTTGCACATCTTTGATTGTACAGTAATACATTGCTGTTGTTCCCACAACAGAAGTATTATACATTTCCCTGGGTGGGCCAGCTTAGTAATAACCAGAGTACAAACAACTCTTCTTTGTTACATCATGCTTTGCCAAGAAATAGCATATGACTTCTTTTTTTTCTCTCTTGTCCTAACAACTTGCATTGACTGGGACAAAAGAATATCCATTGAAAATAATTAAAAGCAACTTTCATGTTAAATGCCTTATGTACACCTATAGATTTAATTTGTTTATTGGCATCCAGTTTGGACAAACAATGTTTGTCTTTTTAACTGTGTCTGCTCAAAGATACACATGCACACCCCTTGGCCATTTCCTTGGCAGATTTTTATTTGTCAGGTTTTAAATCCCCTCTTGGTGAGTTCAATAAGAAATCTTGTAGTAGCAGAAATCCAATAGTAAATCACAAATAGTGTAGGTGTATTGAATTCAATGAAAGCTACAGATGTGTTGACTCACCAAATGGCTACTGATTCAATGGGTCTGCGCTAGTTGCACCTTACTACTGTACTGGATTTCAGCCAATGTTTCCTTGTAGCTTCTGAATGATTTGTTCCCGACAGATATTACAGGAATCTGATTTGATGAAGGATAGTATGTGCAACATTCTTGCTAAATGGATACCACTTCTGTAGGAGGGAAGTAACTGCTTTGTGTTGAGCATGCAAACTTCTGATTGGCCAATGTCTTGCCAGAGTAAGTGCAACATTCAGCAAAAAATACAACAGTTGTGTCCACTGAGTACAGGTTTATATATCTTCTTATGAGGAATAGCTGCCTACATTGGTCAGATACATCAGTGGAACAAAACAGAATGTCAGTTTTCTGAACTATATCTTGCTTTTTTTTTCTTGCTCACAGGCGTATTACCAAAATAAATTGAAGTTAGCTTTGATAGGCCAGAGTCTTTTTGGACAAGAAGTTTATCAGCACTTACAGAAAGAAGGGCATAAAGTTGTAGGAGTCTTCACAATACCGGACAAAAATGGAAAGGCTGACCCTTTAGGTAAATATTTTTATTCTGTAGTAACGTCAGTACTTGTTGTGGGGCAATTTTTGTGCAGCAGAGTTGGGAGTCTCAGGCCCTCTGGAAGTTTTTGGCCTCTGCTTCCCTTCAGCTGCGGACAGTATGGCCAATGGTCAAGAATGATGCAATGTAAGAATATCTGGGGAGCTGCAAGCAGTCCATCCGTGCTGTACAATCATAGCATGGGCAGTGGTGATGTTTTTGTCCATGTGTTGGGATTAGAGATTGGAAATGCTAGTTTTGAGTTACACGTCATAGAATCACCCAGCCAGCATGGCCAATACTGCTGGGAAATCATGGTAGCTGTAGTTCAAACAAATAACTTTTCCAAACTTTGTCTACGATGCAGTTATATGTTACACCTCAGTATGTCATAATGTTGCCAACAGATTGCTTTACCACAGTGGTCCCCAACCTTGAGCCTCCAGATGTTCTTGGACTACAACTCCCAGAAGCCTTCACCACTGCTTCTTCTGGCCAGGATTTCTTGGAGTTGAAGTCCAAGAACATCTGGAGGCCCAAGGTTGTGGACCACTGCTTTACCAGACTCTCTTTGTAGCCTTTCAGGAGTTGATCAATTCTGGGAGGCCCAAGTTTGGGGGCCACTGCTTTACCAGACTCTCTCTGTAGCCTTTCAGGAGTTGATCAGTTCTACCAAAACCATCATCTGGAATGGAAGGAGGCAGATCAGAGAACCTTGTTTCCCACCACCTAAATTAGCTGTTATCAGATTTTGCTCTCAATAGCAGTTCTCAAATTTTGCCTGTTTTGGACTTCAGTACCCAGAAACCTTGACTGCCAGCCAGAATAGCTAGGAAACTGGCAGTTGAAATCTGTCCAAATGGCCAGAGGTTAGCATATGCACCCTTAGATCACATGTAAGTAGGTTTTGGCTCCCCAGCATCCTGGCAGTCCTAGCTACTATGAACAGTGAAAAAATACTGTGGGAGCTGTAGCCAGAAATACCTGGAAAGGCAAATAGTCCTGGAGTTATCAAATCGTTCTGTGAAAAAAGTAGAATTCCAGGTAGGGTTTGGACAAAAGTCATGTTTAAAACCTTGGAATGCTGTTACGAGGCAGTTTCAGCAGTACTGGGATTAACCATTGATTTGGCACCATGTAAGGCCACTTTCTTTGTTCATATATTGTGTACTCTACTCAGTGCCAAAGTAACCTCTGGGGTCATGATTTTTTAAGAAACACATTTTACATCAATGGTACATATATCAGTTTTTCAGCCAACAACCTGTTTGCAAACATTCAATATTTCTTCTTTTCTAGCATCGGCTGCAGAAAAAGATGGAACCCCTGTATTTAAGTTCCCAAAGTGGAGAGTTAAGGGGAAGCCTATCCAAGAAGTTCTTGATGCCTATAAATCAGTTGGAGCAGAGCTGAATGTCCTCCCATTCTGTACACAGTTTATTCCCATGGATGTTATTGACAACCCCAAGCATGGTTCCATTATTTACCATCCATCTATCCTTCCCCTTCATAGAGGAGCCTCGGCCATCAATTGGTAAGTAGCCTTGATGAAGGAGTAGCATCGTATCTCGGTAGAGAGACTGGGAGCCAGAAAGTCAGCCCGCTATGAGGGAATGTTTCTGCTATTCACTTTCTAGGAATAAAGGCAGAGGCGTAAAAAGCTACAGTATTTTGGGAGACTGTAGCTCCTAGGATTCTACAAATGAGTGAGGGATTCTGGGAACTGTCTTCCAAAATGTAAATTATTCCATGTCTGAATAGGAACAGGTAGTATGACACAATAGCAACACAGTGCAGGGAGAAGCATTAGCAGTTGGTTTTGTGTGAAGGCAAAATCATTACTTTGGTAGCTGTGGGCTTGGAATTGCTATGAGATTCCTTTCCTTTTCACCATGGTTTGCTTACATTATGGGTTTTTCTCCTCCTTCCACAGCTATCTTACACTTCTAAGATGGCAGTTAGAGAGGTGCAACATCTGAAAACTGAATTAGAGGTCATGAGTTCTGACCTTTAGGCTGTACTTCCCCATATCTCAGTGGTGTTGCATGAGGAGTGGCCCCGGTTCAGCCTGAAATCCTGGTGAGGTGCTAAGACTTAGTTTGATACCACAGGGCTAGGCTTGCCCATGCTCTGACTTACATTCAAGACAACTTCCTCTGTTCCTGTATATCACACATAATAGTGGAACCAAGCTCTGCCTAAGACATTTTGCTTGAATTGAAGGACACAAATCTCCTTCCTCTCCCATTTTCTGTGCAGTAGCTGAACTAGACTGGCAGTTCAGTCTTAATTGTTTTTAAACTGCATCCTTGCTGGTTTTAATGGTTTTTAACATATTTGCTTGATTAATGGTGGAGATGATTTATATGATTTTATGGATGTTGTTTTTAAAATTTTGTTAGCTTAATGTGGTTTCATCTGGATTTATTCTTTTTAAAAATCTGTAAGCTGCCCTAAATGCTATTGTTTAGAGGAAAGTTGGGGTATAATGTATTTATTTATTTTAATCAACTGGCTACAGACCAGTGTTCTCCATGAGCAGACACTGGAAATTTCACAATTTTTACTCCAGGTCTTCTTCAAATCCCATAGTTAGTACAGCCACTGGCTGGGGCAGTTTAACAGTCTAAAAAAAGCTGTTCTGAGAGTTGTATCTAAAAAAGCAATTTTTCTAAGTTCTACCCCTGAGACCAGAAAGCTAGTTCTAGGGTTGCAAGATTGGCTGCATAGTACACATAGCTCTGTTCTCTAGCATGTCAGCCTTGTGTCTGTTTACAGCTTGCCCAAATAAATGCCCCCATGTAGAAGTGTGAATGCCAGGAAGCCTCATGTGAGTAGAGTGACATGGAGCCCCTTTCCCAGTAGTGCTGTTTTGGATGCAGTTATGGAGTGGGAGGAAAGAAGACAGCCCAGCCATCCTGGACAATCATTCTTGCTGCTGGAATACCAGCTGAGGAAGTGGGAAGACCAGCTAGGAATGGAGTTGGTGGTCACTTTGCCAGGAGGGGATGGCCTATGGAAGTCTAAGGGTGGATCTAAGACAACCCACTTCACTCTAATAGTAGGGCGGCTTTGTCACTCAAGTGGAGGTAAGTCCCACTGAATTCAGTACAGCTCAGTGTGTGTCCAGATAAAGCTTTTGAAATGAGCTGTTGGAGAACTTATGTTTTAAGTATTCTCGAAGGCTTTCACGGCCGGGATCTGATGGTTGTTGTGGTTTTTTCGGGCTCTTTGGCCGTGTTCTCGTGGTTGTTCTTCCTAACATTTCGCCATTCTCTGTGGCTGGTATCTTCAGAGGGCAAGAGTCAGAATTGTACAGAGTTCTGACTCCTGTCCTCTGAAGATGCCGGCTACAGAGACTGGCGAAACGTTGGGAAGAACAGCCTTCAGAACACGGCCAAAGAGCCTGAAAAACCCACAACAACCAACTTATGTTTTGTTTACAGAGGTTCCCAACATGTCTCAGTAGGGTTACAAAGGAATTCTGCCTGAAAAGCTGCTACTGTCTATGTTGGTGGCAGCAGGGTAGATGGACCAATGGCCTGATGCAGCAGGAGACAAGTTACCTGGGTAATTTTACTTCTCAGTTTTTGGAATCTTATATGAAGTCTGAGTGATGCAATCTTCCCTCTGGAATCCTCCTCACTACTTACATTTTCACCAGAAAATCTTCTGAAAGGGGGAGAATGGAACACTTCCTTGATATCTTTTGGCTATTAATGCTAAGAGCTATCACTATGGAATCACTCAATGTTCCAAAGTTACGGTTCTCCATATAACACTGTAGGAGTTACTGGGTCGATCAATTCATGTTAGAATTGAATTCAACCCTTGTATTTGCAGCCAACTTTTCAGGATTAGGAATATGTGGCCTTCTGGATGTTATTGGACTCCAGCACCCATCAATGTAGCCAGCAGAGAGGTGTGGGGAGTTGTGGACCCACAATATATTGAGAGCCACTGGATCTCAGACCTCGTTTCGACCTAGGTCTGTTCCTAGGTTTGCAGGACTATCCATTTATCTGCCTTAACATTAAATATTATGGGGTGTGTGTCAAATATTGGTTTTTTCAGTCACACTGATCTTTTTCATTTTTACTTATTTTCAGGACTTTAATTCATGGTGACAAAAAAGCTGGCTTTACAATTTTCTGGGCAGATGATGGTCTGGACACTGGACCCATTCTTTTGCAAAGGGAATGTGATGTTCAACCAAATGATACTGTGGATGATCTTTACAATCGATTCCTTTTCCCAGAAGGAATAAAAGCTATGGTAAGTCTATTAGAGGGATGTAGTGGCACTGCGGGTTAAACTGCAGAAGCCTCTATGCTGCAAGGTCAGAAGACCAGCAGTCGTAAGATCAAATCCATGCGACGGAATGAGCTCCCGTCGCTTGTCCCAGCTCCTGCCAACCTAGCAGTTCGAAAGCATGTAAAAATGTGAGTAGATAAATAGGGACCACCTCGTTGGGAAGGTAACAGCGTTCCGTGTCTAGTCACACTAGCCACGTGACCATGGAAACTGTCTTCAGATAACACAGGCTCTATGGCTTGGAAACGGGGATGAGTACCATGCCCTAGAGTCGGACACGACTGGTCTAAATGTCAAGGGGAGCCTTTACCTTAAGTCTGTCTGGGTCAGTTTCTTCAATCTGGTGCTTTCTAGATGAGTCATGCTACAATTCCCAGAAGGGTCCAGCATGTTAACTGGTGATGCATTGTAGCCCAATATGTGTCTCAAAAGCATCACCAGTTTTACAGTGGATCATCACAAGTTGAAAGGCAAGAGGTTTGGAAATGGAATTCTGTCCAGTCCCAGAATTCACCAGTTAGGATAGCTAAAGGCCATTCTGACTGGGAGCTACTGGGCGTTCTAGTCTAAAAAGCACTATTTCACACCCTGTTGCATAAATTACAGCTAAAGCAGGTCCATTGTGAGTCAACACATTCCTCACAGCTAAAGCAGGTCCATTGTGAGTCAACATGTTCCTAGTTCTATTGATTCGTTGGGCCTACTGTATTAGTGACTTACTATGCTAATCAAAAAGATTTCAGTAGTTCCATTGATTCATTGGGCCTACTGTATTAGTGACTTTCTATGCTAATCAAAACGATTTCAACCATTCTCTTAATGAACTTCACAACAGTCCTGTAAAGTAGGACAGTAACTGTTACAGTTGTTGTGCTAAGGCTTGCCTATTTGGGAGGCAATTGATTGCTAGGCAATTCAATGAAGCTTGACCTGGAGGCTGAACTTTGAACCTGTTTTCATACCCTTATGAAACAATTGGTTATGCTGGGCCCAGAATAACTGGGTATTGAAGAAGTATAGTATATTGAACTAGAATAACTGTGTATTGCTGCATGGCCAGTGAGAATATGAATTAGTAGCAGGACTTTGGAAACATTGCTTTTTCAGATTACAATTCCCAGAATCCACCCAGCCACTATGGCCAGTGCTGTCCATGCTGGCTAAAAACTGAGCTATTTAGTTTGCTATGACAGTCAAACCAATTGGTTTGCTTTTCTCCTTAGGTAGAAGCTGTACAGCTCATTGCTGATGGTAAAGCCCCTCGTATCCCTCAACCTGAGGAGGGGGCAACATACGAAGGCATCCAGAAGAAAGAAAATGCAGAGGTATGTGTGGCCATATTATGCAGCTGTAGTTCCTAATAATCTCAAAGGATGCTGGAATCAATTATACTTTGGCCACTAACATTAAGCCATGCAGAGTCTAGTCCTTTGAATGGCACCTCAAGGATCACAAGGTAGTTGGCAACTTCTCCTTTAAGATCAAAAAGAAAGGCCTGACTCCGAGGTGTCCCATTCCTGTTCAGAAAACTCCGGGATCTTTACTTCCCTGCCATCAGTGTGCTGCTAATTAATAGAGGTAATTAATAAAGGGAGTAGATCAAGGCATGTCTTGGCCATATTGCAAGAGGCTTTGTATCTGCCTGGCTTGTTTTCAAATGTACTTTTGATATAGGGAGGAATGGACATCAGCCCTGGCTTTGACACACACAATCTTCCTCCCACTAGTTCTTATGAGCAAGAAATAGTGGAATGAAAATGAAAACACAAGAAATCCAGAATACGAAAAGAAAGAAGAATAGATGTCATTACTTCCTCTCTTCCATATCGTCAGGCCAGGATTTGGGATTTTCAAAGTCAACTTTTCTACACATGGCTGACACAGAGGCTTGCTCATCATATATTTGCTTGTATAGCATACAAGTTGCTGTTCCATCATATGTTTTCATATACCAATCAAACAGCAGCATGGTGATATTTCTTAACTATCTACGAAGTCCCAAACTTTTAGGAACAAAAAGAACTTCCTGGTCCTTCCTCTGCCTCATCCATCAAGTCCAAGAATCTCCATGTGTTTCAGTATTTTCACTAATAATATGTTTTTTCTGCAATTGGTTCCATAACCAATTTACTCGTTTATAAAAGGGAAGATGGACAGCAAGTCTCCAAGAATCTCCATGTGTTTCAGTATTTTTCACGAATAATGTGTTTTTTCCGCATAGAGATCAGTTTCCATAACCAATTTACTTGTTTATAAAAGGGAAGATGGACAGCAAGTCTCCCATCCCTGGCTATGCTAGTTAAGGATGATACGAGTTGGAGTCCAGCAAGACCTAGAAAGCTACAAGTTGTTAACCCTGATTTATAGCATATCAGGCATTTGTGCAGCAACATATTGAATGCTGTGATTAATATGGTATATGAACGCCACAAATCAATACCGCCAGGAGACCTTGTTTGTCTTCATATTCTGTTACAGTGACATTTTGCTTCTTAATAGTCCATGCAGCTATCATGTCTCATTTTTGACCCAGATACATTACTTAGGCTTGAATCTAGTGGGTAGCCCCTACTAGAGAAGACTCATTAAATCTGTAGGGTTCCCATATAGATATAGGATAGACTCACAGTTCTGCAATGGACTCAGTAAGCTTTCTCTCGTTAGGATTATTGGCTAGATTTATGTCTTTATTTTTAATTGTTGGAGGTTGCAGTGGTCAATGGCATATAATGCCTGAACTTTTAACCAATGCAGGCATTGAATGACTTCCAAGAAAACAGAGTCATGTCCCCAGAGCTTATAAATAGAAATGGAATAACTTGTATAGCATTTTCAGTGTGATCCCAGTGTATATGGAACAGGTACTCTTTCCTCAAACTCTGCTACTGAAAGGCAAAATGATGAGTTCTTCTGTGCAGAATATCTCATCTGGAGAAAAAAAAATAACAGATCTGTGTTTTGCAAAATTACTGTATAACACATTTGTTGCCAGCATATTAGTGGTCATATTTAAACTATCATTGACTGTCATCAGTATCGTTTTCTTAGTACACAAATGAGCAAAGTGCAGCCTTGGGCCCTATGCCTCTCTAGATCTCCTCTACTCCTCACCACTTCCCATTTGCTTTTGTTTTTTTTAAAGGCATTTTAAGGCTAGAAACAGCCCTGAGGAAACCTCTACTCCTCACCACTTCCCATTTGCTTCTGTTTTTTAAAAGGCATTTTAAGGCCAGAAGCAGCCCTGGAGAAAAACTGTGGTTAAGTAACAAACCATACCCCCCCCAATACACAAACACCATAGAGCACCCCTTGCCTCTGGGGGCACAGCATGCAGGCAAAAAATAGCAAGGTGTTGGACGAAGGGTATGTATATGTTTCTGTTTCATCTTCTGGGGTAGCTACAAAGAGGTGGTAGAAAGCTTCTGCTTGAACTAGATGAACCACAGGTTAGTGTGTCATCAGAATCTTATACAGTGTTACTCTTAACTTTGGTTTGTTGAAACAAGCCACCTTCATCATCCATGGTTTGAAGTTGAGTTGAAACAAGCCACCTTCATCATCCATGGCTTGAAGTTGTCTTGTTTCAAAAAGAGAGAGAGAGAGAGAGAGAGAGAGAGCAGCAGCCACACATAACTGCTGAGCCATGGTTTCAGTTAACCATGATATGCAAACTGGGACCAGTCTTGCAGGTCAGTTTCAGTTAACCATGATATGCAAACTGGGATCGGTCTTGCAGGTCAGCAGCTACAGCTTGTTTTGTTCATTCTTGGTTTGTTTTCTTTGATTTCTCTGCTAATGTGCAGAGAATGCCTTTGCGATGCTTCCAAACTGGCACAGGAATTAATTGACTGTCTGCACAAAGAAGGTGAGGTTTGTGCCCCTGAAGCTTCCTTCTGTCCTTGTCCTCTAAGCAATCCCAGATGTCATCTTGAGACCAGAACATCATGACACTTTCCTACGACCACTGTGAAAAAGAAGAGTTTTTGCTCTGCAGGATCCCTGCCTGCATCCTTGCTATCTATTGCCTCCATCCACATCGATCTCTCAAAATCTATTTGCTGTCTGAAAATGTAAATATGTGGAGCTGATGGGATGTGATCATATTTTTTCTTTGAACACACAAACACCCCTCAAAGGGCGGTTAAGCCGACTTCTCTCATTCATTAGCATTTGGCAAAGGTGGGAGACACCCTCCGTGTGTTTTGGACTACCATTCCCAGAGTTCCCTGCTGTTGACCATAATGTCAGGGCTGTCAAAAGTAGCAGGTACAAATATCTGGACAGCTAAAGTTTCCCTTTCACTATCAATAGCTCAGTGATTTAGGTATCTGGCTGGGGAGCCAGAGATTGAGTTCCATCCCCCACTGGGCATCTCAGAAGAGCCAACCTGTGTAGCCTTGGGCAAGCTGCACAGTCCCAGGATGTCCCCAGAAGAAGGGAATGGTAAATCATTTCTGAATATTCTCTATCTGGAAAACCCTGGAAAAGATTGCCATAAGTCAGAATTTACTTAACAGCACAAAATGATGATGATGATTTAAAAATATCAGGCTCAGTCTATCAAAATTATAAAAACATTGACTGGTATTACATAATAGATACAAATTGTTGTTGTTGTCACTTTCTGAATGTTTATTTCTTCTTTCTGTAATTTTAAACCCATCCATCTTTTGTTTTATGTGGTAATAGTTTGATGAACATGCACCTCCCTTTCCTCGTTCTGTGTCATACCATGATGATTATGATTACTATCGGCACCCTACTCACTGTCTGATGATATTAAATCATGTGTCAGTAGAAACAAGTCTGTTCATGCTTTCTGGATTCCTAGATTTCATGGGATCAACCAGCAGCAGCTTTGCACAATTGGATTCGAGGGCATGATAAAGTACCTGGTGCTTGGACAATGATTGATGGTCAGGTAAGCACTGAGGGAGTGCTGTCTTGCCTTGATAGCAACGTCAACGTAGGGTACTGTTTTATGAAACATGAGGATGCCAGCTAAAGGAAGGGAGGAAGGGGAGGGGGGGCAGGGCATAGCATGGCATGTAGTCCATTTACATATCTGGATTATATTGATTACTCCACATTTTTAACATTTTGAATTTCTCTCTTGGGTCAAACTTTGTGTGAAGGAAACAAATATCTGACATACAGCCTTGAAGCAGTTCTCTCGTGTCAAATACTGCCCTGAAATATTTCTCTTTTGTGACATAACTTACAACAGGATTTGCCCCTCAAAATGTTGCTAAAAGGAAGAAACGATTGCCTTGATCTACACTTGCCTGTTATTCTAACACAGTTATACAAACATAGGAAGCTGCGTTGTAATGATTGGTTCATCTTGCTCAGCGTTGTTACTGACTGGCCGCTGCTATTCAGCATTTGAGATGGGAATTTTCCAGCTGTACTTGAAGATGATGGGGATAGAATTTGATTTATCTACATGGAAAACATGCTCTCTACTGCTGAGTTGTGGTTCCTTCTGTTTCGCTGAACTGAATGGTACTGTTTGCTGAGTACATTTGCTTTAAGAAGAAAAAAATCTTCATCTTTTTACAGAGGACTACCTTCTATGGGTCATCCTTACTTGATGGTTCAGTTCCTCCTGGCAAAGAGCTGCCAATTAAAGGCACTGCAAAACCTGGTCTTGTGACTAAAAATGGCCTAGTTCTGTTTGGCAATGATGGAAAGATGGTAAGCATTTAAGAAACTCGCTCCTACATGTCAAGAATAATACATGCCAGACACCATCAGAGAAAATAATAGCAACCACAATGACACCAGTAAATGTTCTTTTATAAGAATTATAAATATTATTTCATGAGAATAATATTGGTACAACTGATACTACTCTTATGATATCATTATAAGGGAAAAATTGTGGTACAAATGTTTAGAATAGTGTCTAAGCCACATGAAGTCCCTCTTTGGGAGAAAGATAGAAATAAAAATAGATAAACACCTATTTCCAGCAGTTTTTCTTACTCTACCAGCTGCCTGTACCTGTTTTTTTTCCTTTAGTTGTTGGTCAGAAATTTGCAGTTTGAAGACGGAAGAATGATTCCAGCTTCTAAATATTTCTCCATGGATGAGATGTCTTCTGTAGAACTTACTGAAGAGGAGAAGAAGATGGCAGAAGATATCAAGGTAAATTATTGCTATATCTGAGAGGAGAAATTTCCACAGTAGTTGGGCAAGGGCTGGAATTTAATCTGACAGGGCTTTTTTTAAGCCCATAGGCAGGAATTGTGTGCACAATTTTTCAAAACTTTTGAAGTAGTTGGGAAAATGTCAAATATTTTAAAAATATTGTTATTGTGTGTCATCAAGTTGCATCCAACTTATGATGACCCTAATAGAGTTTCAAGGTATGTAAGATATTTGATGAGTGGTTTTATAATTGTCGCAGCCCAGGGAGTCTACATGGCCTCACATGGATTTTAACCAAGCTGTCTCGAGTCCTACTTAAGCAGTCTATTGGCTATACTACACTGTCTGTTGGTTTCTAAATAAGAATATAAGGAGGAAGGAAAGAAGGAAGGGAACAGAAAGTCTGTAAAAAAAGCACAATAGAAAATGCAACATGACTGTAATATACATATGCTATAGATATAATTATGCATATATACATAGCATTTCGTTCCTGTATTTTAAACATCTTTTGTTCATATCTTCATATGAATGAGGATTTCCGGGAGACAGCACCCCCAAAAACTGAAAACTTTGAGTGCTACTTGACTAGCAGCTAGCAATATATAATCTTATGTATGTGCAAGAAACAATGCACTTGCAAATAAATAGTCATTTCCTTTGAGTGATATTTTTAAGATTACACTCCTGACATCATCAGGCCATGTAGAATGAACAGGTTTTTTGCAAATCCACTGCTGGATTTGAGGGACCCTCAAGCAAATTCTTTGGAGGGGATGGAGTTACACTCTGGCCACTGTTTAATCAATGTGCCATTTTGGGCCAACATGCCTTGTTGGTAGATGGATTTTTTAGTATCATTGTTTCAGATATTGCTTGCCTCTTACAGTCCATTTGGAAGGGAATTTTGAGCAACGTGGCTGTAATTGACGACACTACTGACTTCTTTAAGTCTGGAGCCTCGTCTATGGATGTTGTTAGGTAAGTCAACATCTCTGAAGTGACTTGAAGAATTCTTGCACAATTACTTGTTCTTGACATGTTACTGATCCCTATGAGATTTCTTGCCTCTGACATGAGAAATGAAAAGAAACGTCTTTTTAAAAAATTTTAAATTTCACAATTTGTTCAAGATCTCTCTAGGTAAAACTAGTGTCATTTCCTAATGTGAAGTAGAGCAGTGGTCCCCAACCTTAGGCCTCCAGATGTTCTTGGACTATAACTCCCAGAAGTCTTCACCCCCACTTCTGCTGGCCAGGATTTTTGGGAGTTGAAGTCCAAGAACATCTGGAGGCCCAAGGTTGGGGACCATTGAAGTAGAGCATACTGAACACATATAGATACACACAAAGAGAGAAAGAGAGAATGCACAAGCACAGGACTGGCTGATAGATCATAAAGATGTGAACAGCCTGTCTGATATGTCTACTTCTTGAAAGTCCACCTACATAATTTGTGCAAAATTTGGTCATGCAGGTGTAAGAAACCAGTACTAGCAGAAAATATCTTGTCATTGCCATCTTGTAGGCAATGAGAACATTTTGCCATTTCTTGTTCTCATGCATGAGAACAAGGTAAGTGAGGATTTTTGTCTTTGCTGAATGCACTGGTAGTGTGAATTTCTCATAAGAACTCTGAAAACAAGTCTCTCGGGGCATTCTATTTGTCCTAGCACCACACTCTTGAAAACACAAGTAAGGTAAAGGTAAAGGTTCCCCTTGACAATTTTTGTCCAGTCGTGTTCAACTCTAGGGGGCGGTGCTCATGGGGCATTCTATTTGTCCTAGCACCACACTCTTGAAAACACAAGTAGGAAGCACAAAAGAGAGCCTTCTTGTTGGCTGTTTCCAGGCTCTGTTTTAGAAAGCGGTATTGGTTCCCTCCCTATTGTCCTTCTGCCAACAGGTGATCTTTTTATTCATATAGGTCTTTGGCATTAAACTTCATCTGTTATTGAAGAAGGCTAAGTAATTGGTCATTGCTTTATTATTCTTGTGTTTTCAACTGATTGGTTCTTCTGATATGTTTTAATGTACGTTGTGATATATTTTTGTAAGGAATTTGCGTATAATTCTGTTGTTGACCATCTTAAGCAACTTTCTTGGTAGAAAGACACATACATACATACATACATACATACATACATACATACATACATAATACATACATACATACATACATACATACATACATACATACATACATACATACATACATACATACATACATGCTCCTTGTGCTTCTGTGGCAGAGTGGAACTAGAACATCTGACAGCTCAGAACAACTCCCAGACTCTCCCAGCCAGCATGGCCACTTGAAGGGTAAGGGGTGTCTTAACAGTTGGTTGAAAATAGTAACTTTCTTGAACTTTAGAGGAAACATGCTGCCCTAACGGTTTATGAACTGTAGCATCACTATCGGCAGAAGATAGGCTGCCATGTTAGGTCCAGCAGGATAGCAGGTGATTTGGAAGAGCCAATAGGGTTCTGTCTGGTCTTATATCATTGCCACCTTGGGCCTGTTTCTCCTCACTGTAAGCAGTTTATCACTTGTGTGATGCTAAGCTGTTGAAAGCCTATGTGAATCATTAGTCTCTACCTCTAGTGAGTGGGGCTATCCTGAAACAATCTCTTGCTTGAGTCAGAGTATCACATGGTGCCCTATCCTTGTCAAGGCCAGCTGCATAAAACCCCAAAACAGCCACATATTTTGGCACAAGGGGCCAAAAAAATCTCTCAGTTATCTCTTCCATCTTTGTAGTAGCGAAAATGGAGAAAGAACACTGGACAATTAACAATTATTGCTTGTTGATGACACACCAAATATGCTGCCTGAGGCACCTCCCAAAACAGCCACATATTTTGGCACAAGGGGCCAAAAAAATCTCTCAGTTATCTCTTCCATCTTTGTAGTAGCGAAAATGGAGAAAGAACACTGGACAATTAACAATTATTGCTTTTTGATGACACACCAAATATGCTACCTGAGGCACCTCCTCAAACTGCCGAATAGTAGAGCTGGCCTTATGAATGACCGTATACCTCCAAACTGCGAGCTCAGATACTTCCATTTAAAAGAGCACGGTTCCGAAATGGCAGAGTTCCAGCTCAAACTGCCTAATGGTAGAGCTGGCCCTATGAATGACCGTATACCTCCAAACTGTGAGCTCAGATACTTCCATTTAAAAGAGCATGGTTCCGAAATGGCAGAGTTCCAAACACAAACTGAGGCCCACACAGTTTTCTCATGTTTTTGATCAACTTTTAACCATTTTGCATTTCTTTGTGTCTCCAGGATGATTGAAGAGATCAAGCAAATATGCAGTACACTAGAGCTACAGAATGAAGATGTCTACATGGCCCCCAAGTTTGGAGATTTTATCCAAACAGTTGTCCGAAAATACCGGGGAGAAGACACAAAGGAAGAATTAGTGGTAGATTATGTAAGCTACTTTCTGAAATTTAATTCTTCTTTAAAAACCTCAGAATTTGCCTTATCCTGAGGCAGATCATGAGTCCATCTAGTCCACTATTTCCACCTCTGACTGGTAGCAGCTCTCTGAGGTTTCAGGCAGGAACTTTTTGATCCCTACATGAACATATTAGGGATTCAATCTGTTTCCAAAGCAGGGATTCTACCATGGGGTAAATTTAGAAGTAGGGTTATACCAAGCTACAGAAGTGTACAAGAATTAATTGTAGCTCTCATGGTTCGCTTCCGGCTCTCTGAGGTTTCAGGCAGGAACTTTTTGATCCCTACATGAACATATTAGGGATTCAAGCTAGAATCTTCTGTTTCCAAAGCAGGGATTCTACCACTGGGTAAATTTAGAAGTAGATTTATACCAAGCTACAGAAGTGTACAAGAGTTAATTGTAGCTCTCATGGTTCGTTTCCAAAGGACTATCTATGTTTGACTTGTGCTGCAGCTGCTGCCAAGTTAAATTCCCAGTGTCATGTTGATTGGTACTGGAGCCCAGAGGCAAATAAGGAAAACGAGGTGATTTGAGGAAATTCAGATGGTGGTGGCTCCTTTCATGCTAGGCTATGCACTGATATCCATCTCCATATTTGTGCACTATAATGCCCGTGTCCATCTCTCTGCCTCCTAAGGAATTCACTAGGTGCCCATCAGAGTGGTGCTGGGTAGTCTATTTTCTGTGGTGGGTGGTAGTGTTAGAGTTCCAGGTACCATCCCTGAAAGTACATAATGCCGAATCCTTTCTTAGTCTAATGGAGCATTTTGGTATGTCATATGGACGGACTGGCAAAAATTGATCAACTTTATATTTGAGCAACACCTGTAAAATAATGATGTTTTGAATGTCATATTCGACACTTGGAGGGAGTTGTAGGATTAAGCAATACTTTGATAACTTTGTTGAAAGTAAATGTAACTTTGATTTGCTAATGGGATCTAAAATCTCATATACATGTTAATACCCAGGCTATTTTATGTGTGCACAAAATGCGCTTGTTACAAAAGTTCCAGGTACCATCCCTGAAAGTACATAATGCCGAATCCTTTCTTAGTCTAATGGAGCATTTTGGTATGTCATATGGACGGACTGGCAAAAATTGATCAACTTTATATTTGAGCAACACCTGTAAAATAATGATGTTTTGAATGTCATATTCAACAGGACCCCTGTATCCGTGGGATCAGTATCTGGTTTCATTTATCCATGGTCTAAAAATATAAAAAAATACTAAAAGAACAAAATCCAGAAAAAACTTATTTTCACATGTATTGCCTGAACTAGCCTCTAGTCTAGAGGGAATCAGAGACTGTGCTATAAATACTTGTCAGTATCTGGTTTCATTTATCCATGGTCTAAAAATATAAAAAAATACTAAAAGAACAAAATCCAGAAAAAACTTATTTTCACATGTATTGCCTGAACTAGCCTCTAGAGGGAATCAGAGACTGTGCTATAAATACTTGATGATCCACAAACGACAAATTGCCCCCCCAGTGACCCAACGAACAAATCAATTTGTCATTCATCATGTCCTTTCCCCCACCCCTTGCTATGCCCCAGGGCATAGCAAGAGGAGGGAAAGCAGGGGTCAAAGCGATCCTGCAGCACTTTGATCCCCTTTCCCCTCCTCTTGCTAAGCCTCATGGAGCTTAGCAAGAAGAGGGAAAGCAGGGATCAAAACCATCCTGCAGCGTTTTGATCCCTTTTTCCTCTTGCATAGCAAAAGGAGGGAAAACAGGAATCAATGCGATCCCACAGTGGCTGGGAGATGGTTTTATCCCTCTCTGGTCTCTTTCCTCCTCTTCCTATGCCACATAGTCATAGGAAGAGGAGGAAAGAGGAACCAAGCCAACCTCCAGCCCTGGGGGTAGGATTCCCTTAGGCCAGGCTTTAGTAGAGTCGACCTTTTAGTAGAGTAGACCTTTGGTCTAGGTGGGCGGGATAGAAATCCAATAAATAAATAAATAAAACAGTAAACTGCCAGAAGGGAAACCCCTTTCTGCCTATGCCCCTGAGGAAAGCTGATCCGCAAGGGCATAAGCAGATAGGGAATGAAGGGATGAATATAAAAGGGTTATATTCATTGTTTCATATTTGTGGGAGTCTCTGGCCCCCAAGAATACGAAGCAATGAACATCTGACAAATCAGGGACATTTAACAAATATTTTGATTCATTTTTATACTCATCTCCATGTCTACTTCTTAGTGAAATAATTTTTTTCTGTTTTTTCTTTTACCATGCTAGCTAGTTACCTACCTACCTACCTACCTACCTACCTACCTACCTACCTACCTACCTACCTACCTACCTACCTACCTACCTACCTACCTACCTACCTACCTACCTACCTACCTGTAATGTTCACTATTATCCATGGTTTTCTGTGTCCATGGTGGGGCAGATATGGGGGTTCTACTGTATACTTAATATTTTCTACAGGAAAGTATTGTTTACATTAATTTGTAGGACAAACAGAAGTTTATGCTTTGTCTCGCTGTTAGGTTACCAAAGAAGTAAACAATATGACAGTGAAGATGCCATATCAGTGTTTCATCAATGGGCAGTTTATGGATGCTGAAGATGGAAAAACATATGATTCTATAAATCCAACAGATGGATCGGTGAGTAGTAAATGTTTTGAGACATATCTTGTCTTTGACTGACTCCTGTATACCGAATTAGTAGTAGTTAATACACAAGGAGTGGCAGCAAAGCTTGTTTTGAAGCATTTAGCTGAAAATCTAGTAAAGCATGGCCTCTAGAAGCAATGCTTAAAGGTCTATCTTTCCTTTATTAATATTTTGTCTCGGAGTGGATTTTAAGGACAGAGGCGAGTCACTTGGGTTCAGGACCTCCTCAGACTTGCAGCCCAGAAACAGATGTTTTCCCTCAAGTTTCTGCTTCCTGGTGCCTTCGAGCTATGTTTGAACATAACTCTCATCATCCTCAGCAAGCATGACCATTGGCTGTTCTACATTATAATCTACACAAAGATGACAAATTTCAGACTGGGTAGTGTAGTTTTTAGAACATTTGGTGGAGTAAAAGAATTATGATAGTATCAACTGGAAAAAGGAAACCAACAAGTCAGTATCCCTGCCCTGCTATGTATCTCCTTTCCCTTCTTTGCTGTTTTTCTTCTCTTTTATTTCCTCTCCTGCCTGTTCTTTCTTTCTTCCCTCTCTCTTTCCCTTCCCCCTCCCTTCTCTGTCTCTCTTTTCCTTTCTCATATGTTTGCCTTAAGTTAAAACACAAGAGAACAGTACAAAAGGAAATTGTAAAACCGGGCGATAATGGGCGGTGTTAGTCACTGGTTGCTGGGAGAACATGGGGAACCAGTGGTTGAACTTGTTAAAAAATCAGCCTTATTTTTAAAAAGAACCTAGGCTAGCATGTCTCCCGTCTCTATGACAGGTGATTGCCAAAGTTTCCCTCGCCTCATTGGCTGATGTTGACAAAGCAGTTGCAGCAGCAAAAGATGCCTTTGAACACGGTGAATGGGGGAAGATGAATGCAAGAGAAAGAGGGAGATTAATGTACAGGTATGGTGTTCCTTCTGTCTTGCAAGTCCTGTCTTTAAAAAAAAATCATGATGTGTCCTATGTAGGATGGTCTTTTCTGAAAGTCTGGTTTCAAGAAGGAATAAAAACAGCTGCTGTAAACTCAGATCCTGTGCGCTGTCCAGACAAAAGAGAGAGTTCCAGATCATGCCTACTTCATGCAAATGAAGGAAGTGTGCATGTATGGTCATGTTTGTTCTGCTTCTACAACCATAGGGCAAATTAACGAAGCCTGTTCTGTTTGTGCACATCCGCAGTGCGATACTAACCATACTTCCAGGGCCAAGGCAGCCACAGAAGTGGCTATGTTAGCATGCTTCTTACTCTTTTGCATATCTTGACGTTGGGTAGGGCTCACGTGAACTGGGGAGGTGGCCATTTGTTTAGCACTTGGTTTAGTATGGACCCCGTGTTGCAGTGGTTAAACTGTAGTCCTGCAGTCAAGATTCCTCTCACAACCTGAGTTTGATCCTGAGGGGTTCAGGTATTTGGCTCATGGTTGACTCAACCTTCCATCCTTTCGAGGTCAGTAATATGAATACCCAGTTCTCTGGGGGGCAAAGTGTTGCTTGCATAATTATGTTGTAAACTGCCCAGAGCACTAGGCATAGGCATCCTTCAGTCCATGGTAACATGCTCTGAATTGAGGAGTGTCCTCTCCAGAGCATGAAGCCCGGGTAAGGTAATATGGAGGATAGGCTGTTACCCAAGCAGCAGATCCCTCCTCTCCACATTGCTGAAATGGTCCAATGGAAAGGCAAGAGCCAAGACAACTGGTTCCAGCAACGTCGCAGGAGTTGGCAGAATGACACGAACTGCCTTCGGGACTCCAGCTCCGGATTTTGCCTCGAGGTTAACTCCTGAAGCCGTTTCCATGAGTGGATATAGCCACAAGGCAGTGGAGGTTTGAAATCAGAGTTTTCCTTCTCCTAGATGGGCTGCCTTCCATGGCTGACGAGCCCCACCTACCCGGCCTGCTCTTTAATAGTGCAGAAGTGCCCAGAGCACTATGGGGTGGTATATAAGTCAAAATGACAACAACAAAATAATATTTGTTGATTATAGAATTGTTTCTTACGTTTAATATTTACCTTGCCTTATGGGGACCTTTCTCAAGAAAAGGTGACAAACAATGTTAGGAATATTTTTTTTGTTTGTTTCTATGTAAGCTTTTCTTCAAAGAGTTCAAGGTAGCATGCATGGTTTAGTGCCTATCCTTACAACAGGAGTTTGGAAAAGTTCCTTTTTTAAGAAAAAAGATGGAGCTCCCAGAAGTCATGCTGGCTGGGAGATTTTGGGAATGGTCATCCGAATTCGTAACTTTTCCAAAAAAATTTTTGTAATAATTAATGATAGATGAGGGAGTGATTGATCCAAGGTCACCCAATGATTTTTTATGATTAAATGCCTTTTAAAACTGCCTCTCCCCATCCTAATATGGCACAGTAGTTATTACCCATCCTGATATGGCACAGGTGTCTTGCCTCCAAATAGGATTTTCTGAAAGCATGTATAGACAGTACGATTTTTAAAAAAGTTCTGTGCTTTTGCAGAACAAGGGACAAAATCACACCTTCTTACCATGATATTGAAGTTGGTGTGTTTTTTTTGCTTTCAGCAAAACTGCTTTGGGGAATGCATGTTGCTCTGCTGTCATTTCATGCATCATATGTGTGTGGTTCTCTTCTTTTTGAAAGACTTGCAGACCTGATGGAAGAACATCAAGAGGAGCTGGCAACCATCGAGGCAATTGACTCAGGAGCTGTTTACACACTGGCTTTGAAAACCCACATAGGAATGTCAGTGCAAACATTTCGATACTTTGCAGGATGGTGTGACAAAATACAGGTAAGCCAATATTTGACTTGACGCTGATATTCCAGGAACACAATACAGGAATTGTGCTTTTCCACACTTCAACCCTTTCTAGAGGAGTGCCAATTTTGTGTCAGACTCTGACTGGTGAACTCCAGAATTCCTGGTTGGGGGGCAGGGAAGTTCGGGCAAGTTTGGCATCTGCTCCCCCTTGTAAGAGGAAGAGCAGCTGTATTTGTACAGAGGGATGCACAGTGAATGAATAGAGAAGTCAGCTCCCAGAGGAACACTGCAATGCACAAAGAGGAGTGGATTGGAAGACTTATGCATATCATTTCCAGGGATGTAGTCATTTTAGTCTGGTGTAGGAAAAAAACAACAATGAAGAATCCTGAGGCATCTAAAAGACCAGCAGATTTTTTATGGTCCATTGTCCACTCCATCAGATGCATTGGGTATAGTCTCATTTACAGACACTTACATTCATGCTAGGAGTGACTCCATGAGAACATTCAATATAACATTCTAATCCCAAAGAAAGGGGACACCAAAGAGTGCAGCAACTGTAGGACTTTTGCCTGAATTTCCAATGGAAGCAATTTTTAATGGGTGTAATTTGATCAGAATCATCCATAGCCACATTGCAAAGTGTATGCATTCCTGTGAAAGCCCACCCAAGTGGTGTCCCCATACATTCCCAACATACACATTTAAATATGTTTTTTTAAAAACTTGAAAGGGAAAAAAAGTTCAGTTATAACAGATGTATGGCTGAAATCCTGTTGCTCAGTGTAGTAAGCTGCACTCGAGCAGACCCATTGGATCAGTGTGGGTTTGTTGAGTCAACTCCTCCATAAGTTCCATGGATTCAAATGGATTCAGTCTGCTTGTGACTTACTATGCTAAGCAACAGGATTTCAGCCTATTTGTAAGAAAAGACTATACTGTAGTGATGATGGTGGATCTTTACACACATTCATGATCAATATTCCAACTTGGAGTAGTTACCCTTTTGGTAGATAGCACCTAGAATACCCCAGTCAGCATAGTAACTTTTCTCAGCTTTGTGTCAAGATGCTTTTCAGAAGCTGTAGTATAAGAGCAAATAATTTATTTGAACAAATCTGATCATATAATTGATCACTCTTTTGACACTGCCATTTTTATTTAATTTTTTTTTCCATTTAGGGTTCTACCATCCCAATTAACCACGCACGACCAAACCATAATTTAACTTTCACCAAGAAAGAACCATTAGGGTAAGTGTTATTCTCTTTGCTAATGGAATTTCTACTAATGGAACTTCTGCTTCTTCTAATTACTTCTAATAATACTAGTTTTCATAGATCTACATTTTGACAATCCAGTTCTGTTTCTCGGTCTCTCCCCCACCCCCACATTTACTGCTTCCAAATCTGCAGTGTTTGTGCAATTGTCATTCCCTGGAACTATCCCCTGATGATGCTTGCATGGAAGAGCGCGGCATGTTTGGCTGCTGGCAATACCTTAGTCCTGAAACCAGCACAGGTAACGCAGCAGGAACTAATAGCTTGGGATATGCATTCTGTAGCAGGGATGTAGAAAGTTTCTTCAGATGTTGGTCTGCACTTCCCATCAGTCCTAGCTGACACAGCCAATGAAGAGAAATGGTGGGCTTTGTATCTAACAATATATGGGAGGTCCCACATTCTCCAACCTCTGGTCCAGCATTTCTGTGGTTGCTGTCTGCTAATTGACTCACTGACCTACTCAGAGTATTATTACATAGGATTTCTGCTGACGAAATCCAGCTCTGTTCGCCAGCTAACCCGTAGGGACCTGCTATAGTTCCTATGTGTTAGCCGGTGAACAGAGCTGTATTTCATCAGCAGAAATCATATGTAATAATACTCTGAGTAGGTCAGTCAACACGTAGGGACCTGCTATAGTTCCTATGTGTTAGCCGGTGAACAGATCTGTATTTCATCAGCAGAAATCATATGTAATAATACAGTACTCTGAGTAGGTCAGGGAGTCAGTGACATGTTTGATTTCAGCCTCAAGATAAAATAATGCCAATATGGCAAAAATGTTTTGATGTCATTCGAAAATAAGGAAGTGACTAATCACATTGCAGGATAAAGTCTATGTTTTCTTCCACTTAAGGTAATTACTTTTTTAAAAAAATATTTTGTGATTTAAAAAAATAAGTTACAAGTTGTAGTAATCACTAAAATGCATGTTAGAATCATATTCAAATGAATTATCTGAAACCACACGAATGTCTAAAATTGTAGGTTTACTTAAACTGTGTGTTTTCACATAGGTCACTCCATTGACTGCCTTAAAATTAAAAAAATTATTTTGTGATTTTAAAAAATATGTTACAAGTTGTGGTAATCACTAAAATGCATGTTAGAATCAAATTCAAATGAATTCTCTGAAACCACATGAATATCTAAAATTGTAGGTTGTCTACTTAAACTGTGTGTTTTTACATAGGTCACTCCATTGACTGCCTTAAAGTTTGCAGAGCTCTCTGTAAAAGCAGGATTTCCCAAAGGTGTTATCAATATTATCGCTGGTTCAGGTAAAGTACTGCTGTATATGTTCTTTTTTCACATCCCAAGAATAGATTGGAGGGCAGGGCAGTAGAAGAACTTGGAAAAAAAATTATGTTTTGGTACTTCTAGAATTCCTTAGCCTGCATGACTGCTTGCTATAGTGGTTGGGGGAGGATTCTGGGGGTTAACAGTCCCAAAAATAATTTTTCCAAGCTCTGGCAAGTAGTAATCAAAAATGTCAACTCACAATTACACCAAAGCTTACGGTATTTAATCCTACCTGCATTTCCACAGGTGGTTTAGCAGGACAGCGCTTATCTGAACACCCAGATATTCGTAAACTGGGTTTCACTGGCTCAACTCCAATTGGGAAACAGATCATGAAAAGGTAATTGCACTCCTTGCATTTTTATTACACACACCCTCCTCCACAGGTTGTACATTTGTCACAGCATTTTTAGGTGCATGGGTTCTTTATACAGATGGGCAGGAACCGAACCACAGACCAGAAAAACTGATGAATCGGGCTGAGCCGTGGACTGGTTTACAACCTGGTTTGGGGACAAACTTGTTTTCCGTTGGGCACTTTGTTTTGCATCTGCAACATGGAGGCTGGCTTACTCCCTTCTCACTGCCTCCATTGCCTCTGTCTGGTCCGGCTGTTGCCACCACCATCCTCAGAAATGGCAGACCCAGCTTTCCTTTCTGGAGAAGGCCCCACTGCTTCTGAACATGTGCTCATCGCCCAACTTATAGGCAAGCACATGCACAGAGGCAGCAGGCCTGGCTCCTGGAGGGGAAGCTGGCCTGCTGTCTCTTGTGGATGGTGGAGGAGGTGGTGGCGGCAGTGGCAGGACCAGGTAGGGAAGCCATGGGGGCAGTAGAAAGGGGGCAGTGGGTGGGCAGGAACCCAAAAAGCAAACCACACACCAGTTCATTTTTCAGGGGGTTTGTGATCATTCATAGTTCACGGGTAGCCAGGAAGCATCATGAACCACCAGTTTTCCAATTTGTGCTCATCTGTACTTCTGTACGAAATGCTTTCATGACTGCCCAAATTGCATTGCTCTTTCTAACATCTCAAAGCTTCCCTAATCCCAGCCCTTCCAGCCTATATTTATTTATAGAATTTCCCCTGGGGAGAAATAGTACCAAATGCTGTAAGATAACCTCTTCCTTCCTTCCTTCCTTCCTATCATAATTCTAGCTGTGCTGTGAGTAACCTGAAGAAAGTTTCTCTGGAGTTGGGTGGGAAATCCCCACTGATCATATTCAATGACTGTGAACTTGACAAAGCTGTGAGAATGGTAAGTCTGATTTTAAGTCTGATTTTTATATAATATATATAATATTTTTTTCCAGGGATAAGCCTGTGGGAATAAAGAGACATTTTTCTTTCTCACTGCTTTGGGCTGCTATCAAACAAAATGTTTATTAGGCAATTATCCTGATTCATTGAGGAATTTAATGACAGTGGTGGAGGGAGCAATTATACACTTATCTGTATATAAATCCACCAATTTTTCCATTTTTTAAAATTTTTTCTTCTTATACACTTATCTGTATATAAATCCACCAGTTTTTCCATTTTTAAAAAACTTTTCTTCTCTTTATTTGTATCAGAGTACTGCACAATTTAAATGTATGGACTTGTAAGAAATATAGATAACATTAAAAAAAATTAAAATGTTAAAACAATTAGACTATTTTTGACCAGAACTGAGCATTCTCAGCCATTTGGTTTTTTTTGTTTTTGTTTTTGTGTTTTGTTTTTTGTGTGTGTTTTTTTGGACATATGGAGGGCGACATAAATTGCATGCACTTATGTACTGCATTGATTGAATTTCTGCACAGTCCCAGAAAATGTGTCCTGTATCCAAGAAGCCCCGTTGTACTTTGATTATTCTTTGATCTTTCTATCTTGCTTCAAAGTCTATTAAGTGGCTTCCAGATAGTCCATCAAGAGACTTATCCTGGTGAGGGACAATCTTTTTTCTTACCACAAGCATGCACACAAAAATAAAATACAATAAGTTAAGGAGGGAAGCTGGGCAGTATCGTTTGATTGGTACCACTTGAAGCCCTCTTTTGAGAAACATCTTAGAGAAAGCACCTCTAAGATGCCATGGTGGGGATACCTTGCTGTGATGTACAAGGAACACTTAAGATTCACAGTAATTTGTGCACTGTGATTTTTTAAATGTGATTGAACTGCTATTCCCACTCAGCCAGCCCAGTGCAGCAAGGAACACTGGGAGTTGCAGTGTGACAGTATCTGAAGGACTACATTTTGTCCGCCTCTGCCATACAGTTAGGGAGCGCCTCAAAACAGCAAGACAAATTGCATCTGAGATGTTTAGCCAATCTTTCCTGCAATCCATTTTGCTCACCCTAAGATGTGCTACTGGTCCTGCTGATTGGCAGGACCAATCAGCAAATTTGGATGTTGAGAAAGGCCAGCACATTGCCATTTATTTACTTTCTTACTATTGAATTTTTACTGCTCGGAAAAAGGAGAATTGGCATTTCCTGCCTCATCTAACTTGACTTGAGTGGAGCAATTGATACCATTTTGTTCTTTTGCTTAGGTCAGCAAAATATCTTTAATCAGGTGTATCAAAATGATACAGGTGTATCAAAACTTATCAGTTTTGAAGGAAATCAAGCCTGAGTGCTCACTGGAAGGACAGATCCTGAAGCTGAGGCTCCAATACTTTGGCCATCTCATGAGAAGAGAAGACTCCCTGGAAAAGACACTGATGTTGGGAAAGTGTGAAGGCAAGAAGAGAAGAGGATGAGATGGTTGGACAGTGTCATCGAAGCGACCAGCATGAATTTGACCAAACGCTGGGAGGCAGTGGAAGACAGGAGGGCCTGGCGTGCTCTGGTCCATGGGGTCCCGAAGAGTCAGACATGACTAAACGACTAAACAACAACATCAAAATGGGTTTCCATCTGAGAGAAAGGAGAAATAGTACAAACCAATCCCAAGTATGTAACCAAGGCTGGCCAATTTATTTTGGTACCTGAAGCAGAAAAACATCACAAGCACTTCCTCCTGTCTCTGACAGTAAAAAAAAACAAAAAACCAACCAATAATAAACAGTTATTTAACTATCCCTTTGATAGCCTTTCATATTATCCAAGGTCTGCATGTGAAACAGCTTTTTTACCCTGCCTGTTGGAAGACCTGACCATATCATCCAAATTCCATTGCATCCAAGAACTTCAGGATCCCTTTAAACCTCTATGCGGAGGAAGGCCTACATTTGCTCCAGACAAATGGATTTTTCTTGGGGGAAAAAATATGTTAATAATTGAAAGACAGGGTTCATGGCTGAAATACTGAAAAGGAAAGAAGATTTCATAACATAAGATACTTTTCTCCGTTCTTTCTTTATCATATAGGGCATGGGAGCAGTTTTCTTCAACAAAGGAGAGAACTGCATTGCTGCTGGAAGACTCTTTGTAGAAGAATCGATCCATGATGAATTTGTTAGAAAAGTGGTAAGAAATGTTGTGTATGAAACTTTTGAAAGAACTCTTAGCATTGTAAAACTCCCATGATTTGCACTGATAAAATTTATTATTACATGCTGTCAAAGGGATTCCATGATACCATACTTTGTAACAGTGTGCTGGCCTCATTCATCTTAGGCACCTTTCCAGCACAGTTCTGTGAGTCCTTCCTGAAGCTGCAGCTTCTGCGGTTTGTCCTGTGTTGATACAAGGGGAGAACTGGTGTGCTAAATTCAGTCACTGCCCAGCCCCAGTGTGGCATGAATGGAACATGCAAGAGAATAATCTAGAAGTTGTGGGAATGGGTGCACTCCGCACTATCCTGTGTAGAGAGCTGACCTTTGGCTTGACGTGTTAGGAGTATGTGCTGGTACTCTGTTTTTTGTGAGTTCTATAGAAAGGTGGATTTAAAAAGGACATTTATCTCTTAATGGCTGGTTGATCTTACAAGCTATCTGTACAAGCCACATGAGGTAGGAGACATTATTACTTACAAAAGGGAAATCTCAACGATTAACTTATCATTCTCTGATTCCCCCCCCCCCCCCGAATGCTTTGGTAATCCATAGGTGGAAGAAACTAAAAAGATGAAAATTGGTGATCCACTTGACAGATCTACAGATCATGGTCCACAAAACCATAAAGCACATTTGGAAAAGCTGCTGGAGTACTGTGAAACTGGAGTAAAAGAAGGAGCAACACTAGTATATGGAGGAAGACAAGTATCTAGACCAGGTAACTAAAATTTGAAATACAATTTATCACTTAGACGAACTGATTAACAGCACAGCCTACCTACTACCGTGAAAAGCCTTGACTTAAAGCTTCTGAGGCTTTTAAAGCCCCGCTGATATCTGTTCTTTTTAATGTTCATGTCAGAGTTAGTTTGTTTTAATTATTTCTCTTTTAATTATTTCCATTGCAAGTCCAGGGGAGAGATGTCAGCTCCAGGAACTGTGAGGCCTTTGAAACCTCCAGGTCCACACTCACCTCTGATCCACCCCATACCATGCCTCTAATCTGCCCTATATTTTCTAGTCAGTGGAGTTTCAGTGTTCAGAAGAAACTTTTTCACAGGTGCTGGAAAGGAGAAACTGAGGTCACATCTCATCCTCTGAGAGTAGTCCTCTCAGGCTGCTCTCAAATGTTTGGTATTTGAACAGTATTATGGCCTTTCACCAGGATCATTCGATTGCAGGCCAGAAGGTTTTGGATTCGTTAAAAATGTCCCACCAAATTTTAAAGAAAAATTATTGATATCTATATATTTGTAAACACTTCCAGTACTAGGAGACACCTTAGAAACTTAACTTCTTCTAGGTAGTTACTTGCTGTGATCTATGTAAGCAGGGAGCTCTACTGCCCAGGAGGAAGGCAGTTCACACCGCACGGGTTTCCCCTCCCCTGCATTTTTTCATAGCCAGGAAGAAGCCTCTCCAAAGGCCAGGTGACCTACCATAGGATGCATTTTTTTGCTATGTTATAGTCAATGATGTGCAAGCAGAAGGCAATAGATTTTTTTTCCTGTTGACCTTCTCCCTCATATCCTTGGAAAAACTTCTCCAGAAAGCTGAAAGGGACTGTTTGTTTATTTGTTGCATCTACATTCCACTTTTCCTTCAATAAGTACAAGGCAGTGTACACGACTCTTTCCTCTTCTCTCCACCCCCCTTTATTTTTTGCCAATACATTGAGATTGACTAACATAGCTACTTATTTGGAAAAGAATACTGTGGAGAACAAAGAAAGCAAATTTATTTTGGCCTGTTGGAAATGTTCTTAACCCTCTTCCTCCTTCTTCTACCCTATTTGTTGAACAAAAATTTTGTTTCTCTCTAACACAGAAATTGGGATGTATATATATTTGTACAAACAGATTTATGTCTGCCAAGATTGCACATTACTGAAGGACCCTGTTCATCCATCATGAAAGCCAGTGCAGAAACTCAGAACACAATGTAGGATCAACTAGATCTTTGTCTAATTCAGCAAGATTCCAATATGTTTTTAGCAGATCCAGATTTATCTTGGAACCTGCCATGTGCCACACACACCCTGCTGCCACTGGGTACCAATGCATTTTAGTGTTTGAAGTGTAAAAGAGCCACCCCTGATCTAAAACATTTACGTTTCAGCCTTCAAAAAAGGCTCACAGGGAGAACATGCTGTTTTAAAGGAGAATTGTACTTCTATGGGTATTATTGCCTTCTGCATGATGTATTCTGCATGTAAATTAAATAAGCAGGGAGGCAATATACAGTCCTTTATCATGTCCATCTTTGCACAAAATGTCCCTTTAATATCTCCATTTGTCTTGAACAGATCTCTGTTTTTTTCCTTTCTATTATTTTCCTCTGTATATTTGTACTGTTCATTTAAGGTTTCCTTGCTATTCTTTGGAAGTCAGCATTCAGTTTTCTGTAACGTTACCTATCTCCCTTGCATTTTGTTTCCTTTTTCTTCTCTGCTATTTGTAAAGCCTTGTTGGACAGCCACTTTGCTTTCTTGCATTTCCTTTTCTTTGGGATGGTTTTTGTTGTTGCCTCCTGTACAATGTTATGAGAGTTCAGGCACTCTGTCCACCAAATCTAGTTCCTTAAATCTGTTCTTCACTTCAACTGTGTATTCATAAGGGATTTGGTTTAGATTATACCTGACTAGCCCAGTGGTTTTTCCTACTTTCTTTAGTAGTAGATCAAGTAAATGCTGACGATCAAGTAAATGTTTACGATCAAGTAAATGCTGCAGCCCTACCCTAGGCAAGTTATTAACATATTGTGCCACCATATGAATATATCAGAAAAGATGGATATATCACAACACAATGCTCCGTCTACTTTCTCTTTGACTAGGCTTCTTCATGGAACCTACCATAATCACAGACGTTGAAGACCATATGTACATTGCACGCGAAGAATCTTTTGGTCCTGTAATGGTAATTTCCAAATTCAAAGATGGGTATGTATTGGTGTGGTTACCTCATGAATGCTGTTATCTTTTCCCAGTGACAGCCTCTTTCAGGGGTTCTCGCCATACAATTAATCATGTTGGGGGAGAACAGGACTGTGTACATTCATTTTCATGTCCATACAAGGGAAAAGGCCTAAGGACAGAAACCTGCTGCACCCACGTAAGCTCTGCTTGTGATTCAGACTCCAACCCAATCAAGGCTTTTGCACAGCTAGCCCACATGTGTACAGGAAGTGCCCTGCTAAAAACATTCCCCATCAAATGTTTGAATAGAATAGATGCAATTTCACCCTGAACAGCTATCAATCAGAACCGCTGGACAACTCAGTGGTTTAGTTCTCTGGCTGCAGAGCCAGGAGTTGGGCGTTCAATTCCCCAGTCTGCTTCCTTGAGAGGGGCTGGACTTGATGATCTACAGGGTCCCTTCCAGCTCTTCCAGTTCAAAGGTTATTATACAGACTGAATGTCAATACTGGGTTTAGGGACATAAGAGTCTTTGAACTGTAGTATTCAAAAGGTTTTTTCAAGGGTCTTCTAGCTCAACACCAGACCTCCCACACAGATAAATGGCAATCTGATTTCTGATGAAAACCCTCCAACAAACTTGAGTCCATGATTTTTTGAAATAGTTTTACAATCATCTGCCCAAGGTTTGCTTAGTCGCCAGGTAGGTGTTAACACTGTGTAATGTCAATTTGCTACTGTCATACAAAGTGAGGATGAGTCACTACTGACTTCATAGGCTTAAAAAACTGTAGTCCCAACTACAGCAGATAACCGAATGACGTACTGGATGATGAGTCCATACCTAACAGATCACCACTAGTCAGGGTTACTACTTGAATTCTGGTCATATGATTAGCATCCCATGATGTCATTCTGCTAGTGTAAATTTGTACTCGTGACAAATTTCAGATGATGCAGCGATCTAACAGTTTCTAGTTGAGCAACTGGTTGTACAAGCAATAGGGGCAAGAATCCACAAAGACAGAGAACCAGCAGATTTTTTTGGTTAACATTAGTTTGGAGTGAAGCCTCACGACATAATCTTTTTGTTACCTTAACGACAGTGAATGCATTCTACAAAAGGCATTTAAGGCATGCAATAAAGGAACACCAGAAATAGTGCTGTAACAGAGTGTTTATGAAAACCAATGTGGACAGACGAGATTAATTTCTGGTGCATTTTGCCTGTTAGCAGATTTTTCTCTTGTATTGTAGGGATGTTGATGGGGTGCTAGAACGAGCCAACAGGACAGAATACGGCTTGGCTTCAGGGGTCTTCACCAAAGACATAAGCAAAGCTTTGTATATCAGTGACAAACTGGAAGCTGGAACAGTCTTTATCAATACCTATAACAAAACTGATGTGGCAGCCCCATTTGGTGGATTCAAGCAGTCTGGCTTTGGGAAAGATTTAGGTAAGTTATTTGTTAACTTAATATCTATTTAAATATAAAACTGAGCTTTATATAGCAAGACACGCACGCACTAACACACATATGTCTTGCTATAAATACATACATGTGTGTGTTGATATATATATATATATGTATGTATATGTATGTATGTATGTATATACACACACACACAGTGCAGAGGGATAGTACAAAGTGCAACATCAGCTTCAGCACCACTAATGATCTGCTGGACATGTTCTAAACTATGCTTTTGAATGTAGAGCATCAGCAAGAACCCCCAAATCTGGGCATTACTGTATATGAAGTGAACATGCATCCTAGAAGATGCCCCAGCTGATGATGCATGTGAGGTTCTTTGGAAAAGGAAGAGTTGAGCCAGTTCTCTCCATAGTTATCTGGTGCTCCAATTAGTGTGATCTGAATTGTGAGATTTGTAGCCCCAAACATCTGGAAGGTACTTGGTATCTATTTCTGCTCTAGAGTTCAAAACACAGTATATCTAATACAACCTTTCCCAACCTATTGCCCTTCTGGTGTTGGTACAGCTTTTATCCATTTCCATCCTGGCCAGCAAGAAAGAAAAATAATTATTCTATATTGTTCTTATTTGATTTTTATTTAGATTCTCTTATTTCCTTTAGGGGAAGAAGCCCTCCATGAATATCTCAGAACAAAAGCTGTAACTGTGGAATATTAAGCAGTTCCACTTTGGTGGTAAAGCAGTTTTGTTGCCAATAAACTGTAAAAACTTCCTGAAATGCAAGGCAGGACTACAGAATTACAAGCAGAATAAATATTAAGTAGAGACCTTCTCGTTATGTAGTATGGAGCAAATGGACAATACTTTTGTTCACAGTAGGAACAAGACATTCTTTTTAAAGGTATGCAGTTTGTTCCCATTATGATCTGCACAGTGGTTAAAACGCTGTACTGCAAACTAAAACTGTGCTCACGACCTGGGGTTCAAATCCCAGGTAGCCGGCTCAAGGTTGACTCAGCCTTCCATCCTTCCGAGGTCGGTAAAATGAGTACCCAGCTTGCTGGGGGGGCAATGTGTAGCCTGTATAATTAAAAATTGTAAACCGCCCGGAGAGTGCTTGTAGCGCTATGGGGCGGTATATAAGTCCAATAAATAAATAAATAAAACATTCTTTTTAAAGGTATGCAGTTTGTTCTCATTATGATCTGCATCTAGAAGCAGAGATCTGTACTGGATTAGCGCTATGGGGCGGTATATAAGTCCAATAAATAAATAAATAAATAAATCTAGAAGCAGAGATCTGTACTGGATAAAGTGACTCAAGTCTCAAGTGCCACACTTGACTGTGAACTATCTGGGCTGCACCATCTACATTTAGCCTGAATGCTTACATCTAATGCTACGGAGTGGGAGACAAACCTAGATGACTAAACTATCCAGCTTCCTGAATTTATAGATGATATTTTATCTACGTGAGAAGCAAATTGTTAAATGCTCTTTGTTAGTCCAAAGTAATCATGTGGGATTTTGTTTCTAAAAAATGTGCTTCACGCCAGCATAGTGGTTCTCCTGATTCAGATTCAGCCGGTTTTAGGTGACAAAGAAAACCATTTTGCTATAAACATTGTAAAAAAAAAAAAATCAAGGAAGTGCACTTACTATGGTTTTGTATGAAATAGAACTCAACTGTGTTCAATGATACATATAAAAATAATCATAGCAACTATTTTAGAAATGTATTTGCAAAAAAAAAATGTGTAATCTTCATAAAGCTGTGGGTGCCAATTATATTATTAAATAAATTTATGTTGGATATGTTATACCATTTGGTTTCAGTCTCCTAACCGTCTGCATCTACTATAGAGGAAACAGAAACACAACTTAAAAATGCATGGTCTCCCGTCTCTGTTCAATCAAAGGTTTTCTTCTGTTCTTCTCTCCACACTGACCTCCTCAAAGAAAACAGAGTACCAACTTAATATCTTCTATCTTGCAAGAGAGCTTGCATACTTTTAAGCAATATGAGGCTCAGGCAGTAAGTCATTGTGTAGGCAAGACAACTGGAAGACCAAATAGCTCCACAAGAGCATCTTGAGAGGGTTGTGCCACAACATGGGTAATGGAAAACTGGAACTGTGATTACTGATTACTGATTTATTAACTGCTTTTACTGTTCAAGACTTCTATTCTGCCTTGTCCTTTTGATTTTGGGAGCTTAATGTTGTCTACAGTCACTTCTTCAGACACTGAGCTATCCTCACTTTCCGAGTCATCTTCGGAGGGCGAGTCATCTTCCTCTGTATCAGAGCCGCTCAATTCAACCAAAGCCACATTCTGCAAAACAAGAACAATGTATTATTAGAATACCCAATGACATGCAGAACCAGAATGGAAAGGGGGTAGGTCAACACAGAATGTCTGGATGTCCATTTAATGCAAATAAAATTAAATTTAAAAAGCACACTCAAAAATGGTCATTCAGCCACTTCTGGCTGAGGGGTTGCCCCACAGCCATTCTTTTCACTTGTAGCAGATTCTGGGAGTAAGTATTTGGCCCAAGGTTCCCCAAACCTGGTGTTAGGGAACTCTGGGCCAATTTAAAGGCTATAACAGCAAAGTCCAAAACTGGGTAGTGCCACCTTAAGCAGCCACCACCATAGCCATAAACTAATCTCAGCAGCCAGATCCATACAGGATTCTTACAAAATCTGCTGCTGGTGGCTTACAAACTGAAAACTCATTGAGGATGACGCTATCAATAGCTAACAGCCATGACGGTTAAATGGCCCTTCCACATTCAGAGTCATTAAACACCCACACAATTGACTGAAAGGACAAACCAATAAAAATGTTGCCTTTATGTTTTACTTCCTAGAAGCATCAAACAAACTACTGAGAGAAAAGAAATGATATGTTGTGCTAAGATGTCTGGCACAACCTGTAGAATGTCATATACTTTTAACTGCAGGGTTATTTTAAAACAACAACATCTTTTCTGTAAGATATGACATCTTTTAATGCCAGGTGGCCACTGCTTTACATAACAAAGCCTACATAAAACAATTACATAACAAATTGTTTTTGAAACCTGTGGCTATTGAAAGAAGGAAAGAAAACGTTTTTGTATACTGTAAAAAAGAATAAAATTAGAAACAAAATATTCACCATTTCAATGACGTTTTCAATTGAAGGATCTATGTGTTCAATATCAAACTCTTGAACAGGTGTGTTGTCCATTTCCTCTCTTAGCTGGTCATTTGCGCTGGCCATCTGTGGCAAAAAATTCTGCACTCTATCCAAAACTAACACAGGGAAAAATATTTGTGTGGTATTAGTGCACTTCTAAGGAACAATAGTTAGAAAGGGAGCTGGTGGCAACAAGCTGAGAGAAATGAGCCAAGCAAACAAACCCCTAAAATACACATAGCAGCTGTTGTAAATATGTTAATGAACTCTTCTACTGCAATAAGGAATGGTTATTCCAAAAGAGTTCTAAACCTGAAATGCTAGAAAAATATGAATATATGGGTGTATTCTACATATAGAGAAGCCTGCATGTAACAGACCTTGGACACCAACCAGTTTGGCATTGTTGAATATATGGGGGAAGTATTTAATGTTCTCTCTCCACTGAGCAGTTCCTATAGATAATTACTGTATGTACATTTACAACAGGAGTAGGCAAAATGCAAAAATCCAGAAGTTGCTAGACCATACCTTGCTACCTCCAACAATGTCAGGAGCTGCACTCTGATAAAATCTGAAGGACTGTACTTTATCCACTCCTGATTTAAAATGTAAACACCACAAGGACATACATTTTTCTTTCAGATACAAGACTGTTACCTGCCTTTCAAAAGGGCTGATGTGCTCATATTTATAACTAGGATCTACAGTGTAAACAACTGCAGAATCTAAGTGGCCTGTTTATCTTCAATAATATTTTAGATCATCGTCATATTTCTTTCCTGCTCCTATACTCTGTTGGCCCAGCCTGCCTCACCAAGTTTTGAGGATGAAGTGATGAGAAGAGCCACGCATGTAGCCTCAGGTTTACTGGAGGAGATGTGGTACACAAATATAAACCCCCCCCCCCAAAAAAAGGCAAGAAGAAAAAATGCTCAGGCTATTTAGAGCAGCCATGCTCAACAAGGGCCATATGGCCCCTAGGGGGGCCTTGGCAAATTTGAAGAGGGGGCGCAGGTTGCAAAAAATTCTTCACATACCGCCTTATAAGGTTCATTATGCAACTTATACAATCCTGATCCAGCCTATATTCTGTTCATATTTGTGTTTATGGCAGTGGCCAAAAAAATGTTGAGAATGGCTGCTCTAAAGCAACAGAAATGATCTAATCCATTATTTAAGTTTGTGATATGCAGTCCTACGCAAAGTCTCTTTAAGGAAGGTAAATACTTACGATTGCTTCTTGGCAGCCTGGTTGTTTGTAAGCCTGTGGCTTTTTTCTTAGCATGTTTGGAATTAAGCAGCAGCGTCTCATGAACACCTACAAGTCAGAAGCTCTGTATCAGCTGAGTTTTACCCGTAGTTTCTTAGTTTTAAAACATCGCTTTTTCTATTTCATGCAGTACACATTGGCTCAGTGCATTCCCTGTACTCTGCAAAACATATATCTGCCCCTATTTCAGATAATTTACACACTACAGGGAAAAGAGATATAAAAGTTAAAGTTCAGTGGAATAAACTAATACTTCCTTCAAATGCTCCAAAATGGTACACCTCTTAATCTACAACATATAAATCAATGCACATCTAATCCTCAAAGAACCATACATTGCATGGTGTGTCACAAGGAAACCTCTTCCACAAAGATCTGACAATTTGCTTCCATCATCAAACATTACTTACAACTAATTTTTACAGAACAGCTTTTTAGAAGATTATATGTACATAAATCTACACCAGGGGTGGGCAATTAATTTCTATAGGGGGGCCACATGAAAAATCTGAACTGTGTTCGGGGGCTGAACCAACTTTACTTGAAAATAAAATGAAACAGTGATGTTATGATTGTTTTTATTTTAAACTTGTTAATCTTCACAAATACTAAAGAGGTTTTTTGCGGTATGTTAAAGATAAGCAACTGATCAACTTTAGACAAAAAGCTATAAATGGTTTTGATGTTCAAAACTGTCCGCAGGCCTGTCTGTGGCCCTCAGCCGCACTATGCCCAGGTCTGATCTACACCACATGCCATTGTGGGGTAGTGGATAGAGTGATGGCATAGGACTCTGGAGAACAGGGTTCAAGTCTCCACTTAGCCATGGGAACTCATTGAGGGAATGGAACTCCTAAACTCACTCCTTAAATATCCCACTTACCTTGAAAGCCCTATTACGAGTCACTATAAATCAGTATCAACTTGAGGGCACAGAACCTACATGTGTGCAGGCACACGTATGTGTATGCACTGATTGTTGTTGTTTTCATGTTGTAACCTACCCAAATGGGCAGTATAAAAATCAAATAAATAAATAAATTTCAGAAGCAGACAAATTACTAGTGATACCTATGCTTGTAGGTGAGGCGGAAAATCCAAAACTAGCAAAATAATCATGAAAGGCATCAATTTAAAAAAATAATAATTTGCAGTAATACTTTTCTTCCTCTTGTGCACTTCGTAAATCCACTTCGACGCTAAGATCCGCTGAAGCTGGAAATTTACTCACTCCTCTGTGACATTTTCCATTACTTCTAGTAAAAGTACTATACATCACTTCATTTTGTTTTAAAACTTTGCGGGAAATCTAACCAATATCTTGTTCTTAAAACGTCTGATTTTCTTCCCAGCATTCAGAGCTCACATGCTAAATCAGGCAGCCAAGTAATGAACCTAATAATGTTGCAGCTCCAGCGGGAGGGAAAGGGCAACAGAAGGGCGCTCTGCTCCCGTCCTTGCATGGGATTTAGTGGCCCTCCTCCCTCGCCCCACCGTCCGTTACCTCCTCCATTTCCCACCGACAGGAGTTCCCGGGATACAGCCGAGCACGAAACTCCGCGATTCAACGCCATCGATCTCTCTCTCTCTCCGGCGTGCAAAAGCCACGCCTGTCTCCTCGAAGGGAAATCGGAACGGGCAGGAGAAGGGGAGAAAGACGAAGGGCAGAGCGACCACTCGAGGGCGCAACAGCGCCACCAACAGCGCAGGCGGTCTCACATAAAAGTGTTCCTCGAGCGACTGTTGGGTTGAATACTGTACTTTCTGAGCTCCTTGGGAAATCCCGTCTTGATGGAGTTGTCCGTACCCTTGAGGCGTATTATCTGTCTCAAACCCAAGTGCCTCGGCAGAGGCAAATATACACATTGCTGTTGTTTAGTTGTTAAGTCGTGTCCGACTCTTCGTGAATCCATGGACCAACGTTTGGTCAAATTCATGTTGGTAGCTTTGATGACACTGTCCATCCATCTCATCCTCTGTCGTCCCCTTCTCCTCTTGCCTTCACACTTTCCTAACATCAGGGTCTTTTCCAGGGAGTCTTCTCTTCTCATGAGATGGCCAAAGTATTGGAGCCTTAGCTTCAGGATTTGTCCTTCCAGTTAGCACTCAGGGTTGATTTCCTTCAGAATGGATAGGTTTGTTGTCCTTGCAGTCCAGGAGACTCTCAAAAGTTTCCTCCAGGCAAGAGGAGAAGGTGATGACAGAGGATGAGATGGCTGGACAGTGTCAATTCAGAAGCATCAGTTCTTCGGTGGTCAGCTTTCTTTATGGTCCATCTCTAGCTTTCGTACAACACTACTAGAAATACCATAGCTTTGACTATGCGGACTTTCGTTGGCAAGGTGATATCTCTGCTTTTTAAGATGCTGTCTAGGTTTGTCCTCGCTTTCCTCCCCAGAAGCAGGTGTCTTTTAATTTCATGGCTGCTGTCACCATCTGCAGTCATCATGGAGCCCAAGAAGGTAAACTCTGTCACTGCCTCCATATCTTCACCTTGTATTTGCCAGGAGGTGATGGGCCCAGTGGTCATGATCTTCATTTTTTGGATGCTGAGGTTCAGGCCATTTTTTGCACTCTCCTCTTTAACCCTCATTACAAGGTTCTTTAATTCCTCCTCACTTTCTACCATCAGAGTGGTATCATCTGCATATCTGAGGTTGTTGATATTTCTTCTGGCAATCCTAATTCCAGTTTGGGATTCATCCAGTCCTGCCTTTTGCATGATGTATTCTGCATATAAGTTAAATAAAGAGGGGGACAATATACAGCCTTGTCGTACGCCTTTCCCAATTTTGAACCAATCCGTTGTTCCATATCCAGTTCTAACTGTTGCTTCCTGTCCCACATATAGGTTTCTCAGAAGGTAGATAAGGTGATCAGGCACTCCCATTTCTTTAAGAAGTTGCCATAGTTCGCTGTGGACCACAGTAACATACACATTACACTATTGTAAATTTACTTTATACAAGGAAATAAGAGGCGCATTCCCCCCTACTACAATGGCAGATTGATAAAGTCACGTTCTTGGTGCTTTCAACGCTAGTTTCTAAAAGGAACTTATGTGTTGCTCATTACTTGCTTGTGAGCTGATGATCACTGATGTCACGGTTGCCCCATATGATTACGATTAGTGAATGCCATCTGTTTTTTAGGGCAATTGTTGCTGCTTTTAATGTTTCTATTTTTATTTTTGTTTTCTCTTACATGTGTTGTAACCTGCCCTGAGTAGTGCCTGGACACTAATGGGAGCGGGATGCAAAATGAATAAACGAACAGACACAGACATCCAAAAACAGTATAATTGAAACATGAAAAACATACTAGAACAATTGTCTACAATTTTTCAGAACCTGACTGTATAAAGAACTCTACCACTAGTCAGGAACCTTGAAAGACATATCCACGGGGAAGATCATTTCCCCCCTAGCTGTTCCATCACCAAGAGTGGATTGAGGCCATGTTAGCAATGTTACTACTGTACAGGAACTATCCTGTATCTCCAACAACTTTGACCTCTACCACGGTTCTTGGAGATGTAGTTCCAGTGTACTCCTGATATGAATTTTTATTATGACACTTTTATTGTTTAGCTCTTTCTGTCCCTACAAATGTTTTGAATTTTATTATAAATTTCATTTGTATTTTAAAGCTTTCTTCAGCCTAATTTTATCACGGAAAAACAGATTCAGGGTGAGAGAGGGGTGGGCATTTTTGGTTACTGCTGTGTCAGCAGGCACACAAGTGTTTTTTGTTGTAAACTCACAGAACCAGTATTTCCTCTGTTCAGCTGAAGAGATAAAAGTACAGTATTTGAACAGAATGTGGTGAGCACACCTTCCCACTTCCATAATGTTGCCACTGTATGCAGTCTAACAGAAGGATCTCATTTGTGTCTGCTCAAAAGTAAGTCCCATTTGGTTCAATGGGACTCATTCCCAGACAAGCTGAGAAGACATTTCATTAACCTTAATGTGACTTGCTCCTGAACAGACATGTATAAAATTGCATTGGAATTGTTCATTTTATGTTGCAAAGCTTTTAGATGCTAGGAGCAGAACACAGATCTAATCTCCAGAACATATAACTTCACTTTACATTTTCCTTTGGGCCACATCAAACAATATATGTGTTTTAAGGTTATAGCCATGTTGAAGTGGTCAGGTAGAGTTTCCCCACCACTGGGAATGATAAATACTAAATTACAAAAATTGTGCAGAATGTTCTTGCTGATTCCCAAAGGCTCCTACAATTAGCCCAGTTGAGGAAAAGACATACACAGTTTGGGGGGGGGGAGCAGATTGGCCTTTTTTGGTACAGCAATTCGATCCTTTTGACATGGGGAACACATTGCACTTTAAAGAATGATAATAATAAATTAAATTGAGGAAATGCAGTATATAAGGTCTTCAATACTTGCAAACAATGACTAGCTGCCATTTTGAAACCTTTCTTGTGTTGCCAGAGTTTGGCAGATTCTACTGAGATTGAAAACAATTTCCCTAAGGGCACTCAAATTAGCTTTTGATAATATTATCCCAACACCTATTGCTGACTCAGGCTAACTAGACAGAATTTGCTCTGTGCTTTTTATTACTGTATACGTGTACAGTATTAGGAAGGAGACCTTGCAATCAGATAGTTTGAAAAGATGATAGGTGAATATGATATGCCTACATTGCAAAGTCCAGTTCAGTTGTGGAAATATTACACATTGTGTACTCACTGTGGATGCCTTGATGAATCATGTACTACGGGTTGCAGAGGTGTCTCTCTCACACAAATTCAGATTAGGAAAAGGTCCATTAAAATCAGAAGGCCTTTGTTGAAATAGATTTCTTTGTTTCTTTTTTATTTTAATGACATTTACATAATTTCTTGCAAAACACTTGACTTTGCTATTAATTTGTAAATATAATGATATTTGGAAATGTCATCAAAATACATGCGACATTATCCTACATAGTTTACAGAGCAGTAAGTCCCACTGGGTATACTGTAACTTACTTAAAGATACATGGGACTGCAGAGAAGAGCTTTCAAGAGAATTACTGGGGTTAATAGAATTAAGCTGGGAAGTAACTAGTTATATATAATGATTGTTATTTTTAGTAATGAGGGTTACTGAAAGAATAACACAATGACTAATTAGGTAGCTGTTGTGGTATTTTCCAGATACCTCAAAAGCTAATTTTAAAAAGTTTTTGAAGGAATTGTCCAAGCCTTCTGATGAGAATTATTCAAGCCTACGTCCCACACCACAAAAGGTAGCTTTTGAAAAGCTTCAAAAGCCTAAATCCCATGTCACTTAGTACCCCTCCCATTCTATGATGGAAAACCTGAGTGGACTGGTAGATATCATTCTTTCTTCAACACTTCCAATGGAACAGCATTTCCCCTCACACTTGAAGGCAGTGGGTATCTTAAGGGCATTGGGCAATCTGAATGGCTTACAGCTATCTCCTCCGACACCAACCTGTCATCTTACGTCTGCCACTGTTACCTAATTTCAGCTCTGAAATTAAATGAATTGTTATATTCTACAGGATTCACAGTGTGGTGTAGTGCAGTGGTTCTTAACCTTTGTTACTCAGGTGTTTTTGAACTGCAACTCCCAGAAACCCCAGCCAGCACAGCTGGTGGTGAAGGCTTCTGGGAGTTGCAGTCCAAAAACACCTGAGTAACCCAAGGTTAAGAACCACTGGTGTAGTGGACTCAGTGACAGACTAGGACTCTGGAGAACAGAGTTCAAATCCCCACTCAGTCATGGAAGCTTACAAGCAGAGTGGAATTGATAAAACCACTCCTTAAATTTCTCATTTGCCCTGAATGCCCTATTAGGATTGTTGTAAGTTGGTTCTGTCTTGACAGCACAGAACACACACACACACACACACACAGAGAGAGAGAGAGAGAGAGAGAGAGAGAGAGAGAGAGAGAGAGAGAGAGAGAGAGAGAGAGAGAGAGAGAGAGAGAGAGAGAGAGAGAGAGAGAGAGAGAGAGAGAGAGAGAGATTCTACTGCTGCATTCACATTGCCAGTCAGAAAATGGAGACCAACCAAATTGTCAATCCTGATCAATTGTATTGGAAAAGTGATGGTTACAGGTAGCTCCAGTCTCCAACCCACATAATCAGTACTGAGCCATTAATAAAAACCATGTCTTCATAAATAGCCAAAGGTGCATAGCATATTGCGGCTCAGTTTCTGGACTAGATCCAATTAATGCTGCCAAAAAAAAACCCCACTGTAACAATATTATTTTCAACCCTTGGTAGTATTTCCAAAGGACATTTATTTCACATCAAATATAAAATAAGTACAAAATTGTTGACTCTTGTCATTTGTTGCCAAGAAAGCTTTCACAAGGGCAAGCAAATCCATCATCTTCACTTGCCAAGGTCCTAAACTTAATTCTTGTTTGGTTTTCCAGCATTTGTCCTGTTTTGATGCTTGTTGCAAAACAGAGGGGGAAAGCCCTTTGCCTGTATTCACTGAACTTTCTAATGAATGAGAAGTAACTAGTACAGAAAGGATATGACACAGAACAAAGAAGCAAGCAGAAGGATTTGCAAATTGGCCAAATGAGAAAGATTTTAGTCTCGTTTTAGATGAGTGTGTCATTCGTAAACTCTTTCCTTGTTCTTTCTCCTCTCAAAGACAAACATACAATAATTATTACGTATTAAAGTAATTTACTCCATCTCCCTAAAAGATGAAAAAATATGATACAATGGACAGCACAGCAGACATTTTAAGATGTTATTTCTGGGACTTCAAGTAATTTCATATAATTTTAAACAGATATTCAAGAGATTGTTTATAATTAGCTGTTTCCCCCCTGCTACTTGAGAAACAGGTAAACAGGTATAATGGCTGTGCTTACCTCATGGGCTCATTCCTCAGGACCTGAAGAAAGCTAATTTATTTTATTTCTGCATTCTGATTTTATCATTATTTTATCATTCCTACTTCTTTTAAACATACAGTGGACCCTCGACTTACAGACTTTTCGAGTTACAGACTTCTCTGGCCGCAAAATTTAGATTCGACTTGCAGCCAGAGAATCGACTTACAGACCAGAAAAAACCCAAAATGGAATAAAAATAGAATAAAAACCACTGGTTATGGGATTAATCGGTTTTCAGTGCATTGTAGGTCAATGGAGATTCGACTTACAGACTTTTCGACTTGCAGCCACCATTCCAATATGGATTAATTCCTTAAGTAGAGGGTCCACTGTATTCACTTGTTTCTCTTACATGTCTCTCAGTAGTGGGTTTCCTCCTGGCAAATAGAAGGGGAAGACTGCTTCTTGGGAGGAAAGTGATGACAAACCTAGATAGCATCTTAAAAAACAGAGATATCACCTTGCCGACAAAGGTCCGCATAGTCAAAGCTATGGTATTTCCAGTAGCGCTGTATGGAAGTGAGAGCTGGACCATAAAGAAGGCTGACCACAGAAGAATTGACGCTTTTGAATTGTGGTGCTGGAGGAGACTCTTGAGAGTCTCCTGGACATCAAAGAGAAGAAACCTATTCATTTTGAAGGAAATCAACCCTGAGTGCTCACTGGAAGGACCAATCCTGAATCTGAGGTTCCAATACTTTGGCCATCTCATGAGAAGAGAAGACTCCCTGGAAAAAACCCTGATGTTGGGAAAGTATGAAGGCGAGAGGAGAAGGGGATGACAGAGGATGAGATGGTTGGACAGTGTCATCAAAGCGACCAACATGAATTTGTGTCATCAAAGCGACCAACTCCGTGAGGCACTGGAAGACAGGAGGGCCTGGCGTTCTGTGGTCCATGGGGTCATGAAGAGTCAGACACGACTTAATGACTAAACAACAACAAGTGGATTTCCTAGTGATTTGAGATATATTAGGCTTACTGCTTCCTTTTTTTCCTAACACTTAAATTCTGTTCCTAATGTTGTAAAAACTCTGAGGTAAAGCTGCAAATAATTAAATCTATTTTCTAAGGTTGTAAAATATGAGCTTTCTAGTTTGTCTTTTAAGTACAGTATCTAGGGCAAGTTGTGGATCTTCCTGTGCTTGTCTATAGCAGCAAGAATACCTAATAATCGAATAGAAAATAAAGCGGAGGTTCTCAAGGTACTGTAACAACATTAGGAATGTTTAAAGGAATTGCAATGAGAACACATACACCTGAACATCTATGCCTAACTGCCTGAGTGCTGTAGCTTTTGAGTGGTGTGTGTGTTTAAGGGAAAGGTGCCCAGTTCTTTTTTGAAGCTGTTGTTTGCTGATGGGTTGCTTGGTGGAGACAAAACTATTGTTAAGCTGCTAAGGATTTTCCACCTGCCCACCAGCATCACCCTGCAGCCTGATAATTCTATCTACCTTGACAACATAGATAGAAAAGTTATTTTACAGAGTGGCATTAAGTGTGGAGAACAGGAGAACAGACTAACATCAAAATTGTGAGTATAAATTAGGTTTGAAGGAGAAATGGTAAATTTATAAAATTTGTAGTGGAATATGAGGAAAGGGTGTTGTTAAAGACCCAGGAGAGACCTGGGATGCAATTGTTTCTAATGAAGACTGTGGTTGCCAGCTCATTTATATGAGTTAATTGTATAGAACGCCCTCTGAGATTCATTTGGGTTTGTGCTTAATCCAACTTTATTTCTGTGCTGGGCTTTTTTCTCCATCATGTTTTTTACCCTCTCTATGTAAATGTATGAATTAACTTGCATTATATGGTTACCTATGGTCCGCATAGCAATTTTGCTAATGTAGTTGCTCAACATTTTGTTCAGCAGTTATATTTATTAGTGGTCATTCAATATGTTGTAAGCGCTTTGGGCACGATTTTCTGATAAATGTATGTATAAATGGATGATGTTTATGGTGAAGACAAAATGTGAAACTTCATATTCTTGCCTCCCCACTCCACAGTAATTCTTTGCCCATTCTTTGCTGGATGCATATTATGCTTCCTACTATCCCTTTCTGGTTTTTTTTTCGTCTCATGTTTACATTGGCAAGAAGCCTGCAATGAGACCTCATATTTTGCCTGTGAAAGACACGTACGCCTTCTATAGGAAGCATATACCATGCCCACACACTAACTTCTGCAAGTTGTAAACCCATAATCCCCACCACACCCCTGAAAGTCAGCAAAACAGAAGAGAGAGTGGCTTAAAAGTTCTATATCTGAATATTAATATTAATGTCTACAATTTATGGTTTTAAGAGTTTATGGTTATGTATTTACAGATTTATAATTTGCCTATATGAAAAAGCACTTGTACAAAGCTTCCCTGTCACACATACAACCATTGTTGAAATACTCATCTGTGTTTGGATGAGCTGGCTGAGGTACACACAGTCAACATATAAGGTGTGGAAACACACACCTTATGTACGTATGCGTGTATATAAACACACACACACACACACACAGGTGTGTGTTTCCACAACTTATATGTTGGCTGTGTGTACCTCAGCCAGCTCATCCAAACACAGATGAGTGAGCAAAACTAAAGCATACGGGACCAACTGATCCAAGATAGTGGATCATATTACATACTTCTGCCCCATCCCAAAAACTGAAAGTTCTTGAATCTTCAACTCACTGTTGATGGCACAGCATTTTCCACTTTATCAGAAATCAACATGTCTTTATTTAGTCATATCAGTGTTGCACAATTTGAAATATGGACATGTATGAACTGTAAGCAAAATTAAAAGCAAATTGAAATGTGAAGATAATTAGCCTATTTTTGACCAGAAGTGGCTACTCCAATAGTTATCTCAGTCATTTCCTAGATCTTTTGTACCTGTGGTAGGGCAAAAAAAAAATACATGCACATAAGTGCTGCACTGACTGAATTTCTTGAGAGTCCAGGAAAATTTGCCCCCTATCCAAGCAGTCTCACTTTACTTGATTATCCTTTGATCTTCCTGCTTCACTTGCAAGTCTATTAAGTGACTTCTAGATGGCCCATCTGGAACCTGCAACCTGGCCGGACACACCTGGGTCCTGCAGTGGTGTGGGGATCGGCCAAAGGTGGGCTGTGGCTTCTTTCACCTCAGGGCATATCGGCTGCCTGAGCCTGTGGCCTCGCGGGGCCAACGCCCTGGCAAGCCTGCCTGCTCTCCACCTTTGCCACCCTCAGGCCGCCACTCCCGTGTCTAAGCGTGGCGCCCCTCATTCTGCCCCCTCGCCCGCCTCAACCTCAGGGGCGCCTTGAGGGAAGCTCCTCAACGGGCCTCCGAGGGCAGCTTTTATTTCTTGAGGAAGACGAGCGAGGTGACCATTTTGAGGTTTCTAGGCCAGCCTTTCCTCGCCCCGGAGGGGAGAGGCAGAGCGGCGGCGCTCCCCTTCCACCTCCGCCCGTGCCCTTTCGGGAGTCTCGGCCGCTAAGCATCGGTGACGACGGCCACATCATCACCCCGGCCGGGGGCTCCGGGCCCAGCCCTCCAGCCCGCCCTCTTCCCTCTATCAACCCCCCCGCCTCCGCCGACTTTCGCCGCGCCTGCTCAGTGGGGGCGGAGGC